AGGGAACGTTTTAATTTCGAGGAGAGGCGAAATAAGAAGAGGAAAATAAGAAGAAGTGGATTTATTAAAAAATATCTCGTTTTGAAATTTCCTCTCTCTTTCTCTCTCTTTCTGAGAAAGAAAATGATAAAAAATTGTTAATCTCTATCCAACAATCGTTTGTAAAGCGTTTATCTCTGAAATCCCCCTTCATTTATCATTAGAGTCCATTAAAAATCATAGAGTCGTAGTTACAAACCGTATCCTTCATCGTTTCAATTCCATATCTCTGCTATTCCTAACTTTCCATCTATCGCATCCACAGGAACGTTCCTTCCTTCTCGTTTTATCTGCGCCATTCTCTTTCTCTCTCTCTTTCTCTCTCTCTCTCTCTCTTCGCTTCCCATTAAATCTATTTTTAATTAAACTATTTTAAGTTAAATTAAACATTTCTTTCATTACGGGGCTTCGTAACAGCAATTAATGCCACGTCACGCCCATTTACCATCTCGTTGATTACTTTTCTATAGGCGCTACGTTATTGTGTGTATATAATACGAACAATTCCTTTCTATATATATTCTATATATATATATATATATTGTAACAAAGTTGATACGTAATAATAATATTTCTCATGATACCGCGTATTAAATTTAAATTGCGAAACGAAAGAATTCGTTATTGTATTTTATTACCTCCAAATACGGTATATTTATATACGTTTACCCATTTGCAATGAGCGAGAAACTTTCGCGAGAAGATGGTATATTTCAAATAAGATTTCGTCCAAAAAATGAACCGGCGATTCGATAGTTAGGCAGTTCAAGAGGAATCAAGAAGAAAGAAGGAACTTCGTCTTCAACTCTTTTACTTGTTGTCCGATTGCAAAATTCAGCAATTCACAGATGAAAATATATTTTCGTGTCGCTCGCGATCTCCACCCGCGAATTTTTCGATGGACGAAAAATACGAAGAGAAACGCGAATTGACGAGATAGGCGCGGGGATCGATGGAAACATCGCGGATAATCGAGACGGAAGAGAGACAAGGAGTGAAAACGGAACGGGAGCCTGGCGCCGTTTCGATACAATGCCGACCCTGAGATGACTTGCATTCGTATCGGGCTGGAGGAGAATCGGTGGATCCCAGCCACAGGCGGTTTCGTTCGACTTCCTCCTAACATCTCTTCCCCTTCCCCCTGCCAACCCACGTCTATGAATTCACGTAGTTCACGAGCAACGATTTCATCGTCTGCCGCGTTTATTATTAGATTCCATAGAGAATCGCCGTTGCCGAGGTTGCCGCGCGCGAGAACAATTTTTTCCGGCGAGAAAAATTCGAATACTTTTCACGAGTGATTCGTTAGTTCCGGGGAGGCGGAGGGGAAATTAAACGAATTGCTCTCGAACGGGTCTCGCGGATTGAACTGGAGGAGAGAAGAAAGGACGGAAAAGTTGGGAGGAAAAATAAAGGGGGAGGAAGGAAGTTGGATTAATCCTTCTTCTGTTTGTCTTTGCGTTAATTATCTAGAATTAAGAACGCTGCTTGTCGCGGAGCACAGGATTACTCCCTCGATTATTACTTATTGCGGATTATTAATTACCGGAGAATTACCGGACCTCGGCTGGTTGGGGTTCGAGCCTCGCGGAGAGTAGCTTGGAAAGAAAATCGTCTGTGCATAGAGGTATCCGATCTCGAGTCTGTTCTCGATGGAAGAATCCAATCGCTTCGTTCGTTAGAGAGGGAAGAAAAAGTTGAAGTAAGGGGGAAAAGGGAGAAACAAGGAAGCGGAGAAAGGAGATGGACGAAAAACTGTGACGAGATAAAAAGTATCTGTGTCAAAAGCAACCCCTCCCCGGACAATAATAGAAGCCCTTAAAAACGTAAAGCTGGCTAGCGGGCCAGTTGAGCGCGCGTGGGTTATGAAACCGAAAAAGGGAGGGAAAAAAAAGGTAAAAACGGTGAGCGGCCGAGGCAGCTGCCGTATTCGATACAATCGGATAAGTTCTTTGCGGAAGATAAATGGAAGAACGCATTCGAGGTTCGATGGAAAACGCGAAAATCTTCTCTTCTTCTTCTTCCTCCTCCTCTTCTTCGATTCGTTCGAGTATCCGCGGCCAGGATTCCACCGCCTCTTCCTCCTTTCCTCTCCGCTTCGATTTGGAAATCGTACTCTACTTTCCATACGAGGCGTGTGCACGCGCTTAACTCGAAAGCGCGTATATATATTTAATCGCGTATCCAGACTCGAGACGCGATTGTGCATAAGCACACGGCAACAACGAGAGTAGTCGGGAGGAGGCGAGCCAAGGAAATAAATATTAATAACGATGCTTCCTCCCCAACTGTGCCCCCAACCACCCTCCTCCCGCCGCCTCCCTCTCTTTCCCTTCTTCGCCGCTATATTCTTTTCGATCTCTCCTCCTCCTCCTCCTCCTCCCACTCGCGCTCTCCTTTCTTCCCCCGATGCAACTATGTGTCTACGTCCTCTCCTCTCCTCTCCTCTCCTCTCGCCCTCCCCCTCTCTCCCCGTTAGTCTCTCCGAGTGCGCGTCTGTGCATTGTTAGGGCCATTACGGGAGCCAATTAATCTATGCACAATTTTATAATTAAACGGCTAATAGCGCATAGAATTATAGTCCAGGGCCGCGCGCACTCCCACGTATCCTGCTCCGTTCGTGGGTTACGCGTACGCGTACGCGAGAAAGACATTTAAGGTAAGAGGAAAGAAGAGAGAAACGAGGAAATCTCTCGTTCGTGCGCGCCAATTCTTATCGCGATCGCGAACGCTTACTCGTTCACTCGCTCCATTCCTCTCTCTCTCTCTCTCTCTCTCTCTTCCCCGTTTCGATCGAACGCAACGCAACGCAACGCAACGCAACGCAACTCGAATCGAACTTTCCACGGCTCTCGAAGAATCGGTCGAAGAAATTGACGAGAGAGAGAGAAAGAGAGAGGATAATTGGCCGGCTCGTTAGCGTAGACGTAGCATCAATTAGCCGCGTAACGTTATCGAGGAAGAGAGGAATCGGTCGTCGTTTGGGACGCGAGCGCGGAATCAGGGACAAAGCTGTTGACCATTCTTCCTTCTCGCGTGGGCGTTGTTCGATCCCGATCCTTGAAGCGGAGAAGAGGAGTCGGGCTGCCCGTTCCGGAGGGGAGGCAGACGCAAGCCGAAGCCGATGGTGGACGCCTCGACAACGAGGAAGCGGGCATTGGAGCGCACCCGGTGCCCGGCAATAAACCGCAAGAAAAATCCCCCTGAATTATCGGTGCGGTTCTCTGTGCATGGTGTTGCACGGATGGCGATAGAGGCGCGCTTGGCCACGGGCGGAGTGGAGGCCGTGTTGTAACCGGCCGCGCTCGGACGCGACGCTCCATCGATGGCTCCATCGGTGTGTTGCCGCGCTGTTACCACCGCCGTGCATTATCAGAATGTAACGACGTCAGCGGTACACGCGGACCACCCCGGACCGCACACACGAGAACCATACCGCGGTCTCTTAATCATCCGATTTTTCCTGGCGATCCTCCCTCGCCGCTTCCCTCCCCTCGCCTCTCCTCTCCTCTCCTCTCCTCGTTTTTCCAATCGATTTTCGAACCGCGTGTTTCGTCCAACCACCTTTACTCCCCTTGCTCGTTACGAAAATATATGAATATTATACGTATAATTGCGTGGACTTTTTGAAGGAAGAGAGATGTTTCTAGCATTTTTCAACGTTTCGTGGAGATAAAATAGAAAGGATATATTTTTCCACTCAGAGATTTCAAATGTTGAGAGAGAGAGAGAGAGAGAGAGAGAGAGAGAGAGAGCGAAGGGTTGTCGCGCACGAGCCGACGGCTCGGCCAACTCTGTTCTCCTCGCTACGACTCGGATTATTCGGATCCCTGTTCCCTACGGCTCTCTCTTTCCTCCCGTTTCCTCTCTCGCTCTCTCCTTCGATCACCCGTCTCCGTTCCCTCCGCAGGCCATCCCTCGGCCCTCTTTCTCCTTCGCCCTCTCTCTGTGTCGCGCTGAATCCGTTTCCGTTGCGACTGCCACTGCGCGCCGCCTCACCGGGATACTATTGTCCCTCGACTCGATCGCCTCGCCGGCCAATCGACCCCATCCACCCCCTGATAAATCGAGCCGAGCGTCGCGATCCTCGCGAGACGGTGACGTAGCGTGGTGGATGGAGTCGGGTGGAAAAATCGTGGCGGGATGTGGGAGGGCGGGGGAGGGGTGTGAAGTCGGGGACAATAATTTCCCCACGATAACGACGGATCCCCTCGTTCCGTTTACCATTCCGTTTCGTCTGCCGTCTCTCTGACTCGTGGGTGGGGTAAGCTTGTACTACAGCCACTTCTCTCTGTCTGCTCGGTGTGGGGACGATTCATTCAGAGAAACTGCCGTGAAAGGGACACCTGTTGGCACGGAGGCCCGTTGACAATTCCAGATACAAGGGCACGCGTGCCTTTTCCCTCCTTTGGTTCGAACGCAATCGAACGAACGGAAAGAAATTCGAGGCGGAAGGAGAAAGGAAGAACGAAAGGGCGTGAAAAGTGTTAAGAGGAGACGGGAGGAGAGAGGAGGGGGGGATTAAAATATTTTTTGGTCGACCGGTAGCACGGGGTAAGGAACGTAGCTGGGCGAAGATAAAGTGCTGCCCAGAGGCGACACCGGGCGTTATTAATACACGCGAGGATCGTAGCTTCCGTTCTCTCTCTCTCTCTCTCTCTCTCCCGTAAAAGAATGTACAAAAAGCGAGGACGGGCAAACAAACGGTTGTTGGCTCTATCCGGATCATCGTTATCGCGGCGAGTTATCGTCGAGAGGTATACGTACGCGCGTACGTAGCGTGAGACCGAAGCGACAAAGGAACGCGAGATCGGTTCGAAACGAAGCGAGGGTGGGGGGGGAGTATCGAGCGCGCGATCGATTTCTCGCCTTCGTTATCGGTTCTCCCCCTTTTCAATGGTAAACACGCGAAGAGAAGAGAATAGCGCGAATCGTGCGCGCTACCGTTACCGTCCGCTTACCTGGCCGTGGTGCAGTCCCTGTAGAGTATGTCGAAGTCCTTGCAGCTGAGCAGCTTGCATCGATTGACGCCTGGCTGGATGGCTCCGAGTCCACGCAGAATCCTAACCTGTTCGACATTGCACACCAACGGCACTATATCGAGCCTCTTGAGCTTGGTGTAGACGGTGTGCAGGCCGCCAACGAGGTGTTTGAGAAACAGCTCGAACGCCTGCGGCAAGCAGAGCATCGTGTCCCCGGCGATGATGAACGCGGCCACCTTTTGCCCGCGGTAATCGACCAGCTTGCACTCGTTCGCCGTTGGATCGCTGGTGCTGATCGGCGGAGGGCTGTTGTACGATCTCGGAGGTAGAACAGCGTGATGGGCGGCCATCAGCTCGAGCGGCGAGCCGTGATGACCGCTCAGCATGCCGCCCAGTTGTCCCAACAGTCCCAGGCCCGGTGGCGGTAGGCCCGGCATACGGGGCACCATGCCTGGCGGTGCGCCGGGTGCTCCTCCGGCGGAAAGAGGCGGAGGACTCAACGGAAGTCCTTGAGGTGGCGAGCCCCTGGTTGGCGATCCCGGCGTGGGAACGCCGCGGTGCTGCTGCTGCTGCGATTGTTGCTCGCGGATCTGGTCCCGCGGATGAGGCTGTTGGTGGGACGCCGGTGCCTGATGCTGGGACCCGTGAAGCTGTTGCTGAGCCTGCTGGGCCGACGGGCTGTGCGGATGTTTCGGACTGCCGGTTACGGGGCTGGCGCGGCTGCTGTGATCAGAAGCGCTATCCATCGCTCCGTGATCCATCGACGTGTCCCTTCGTCGACGACCGCGTTCCTTCCGATCCTTCTTCCTCTCTTCCCTTTTCCTTCCTCTCCTCTCCTCTCCTTCTCCTTCTCCACCTCCTCCTCCTCCACCTGCGCCTCCTCGTTTTTTTTATCCTATATCGCTCCTCGTCCTGTATCGTTCGTTTCTCTCGCCACGTGGACAGACGGGAGCAACTCGGGGTAACTCGGGGCACCGGTCAACGCATGCTATCGGATCGATCTCTTCCTCTTCTCTTCGGGGCGACGAAGTTTCTGACTCGTTCGGCTGCCGAAACCAGCCGACGAGGAAAATCCCGTCGATCCAGGATTGATCGATCGGCCGAGTCGTTGGCGAGAGCTGTCTCACTGTCGTCACTCGTCGGGTAAACTGTTGTCGCGTCTCACGGAGTACGTTGGACCGTGTACGTACGTAACAAATTCACTGTGCACAACCACTGCAACAACCGTGTCCATGTCAATTGGCCGTTGTCACACGATCTCGACCTCTTCGGCTTCGTTCTCGTTCCGGACAGGTCCCCGTTCCGCGTGATGCTGGTTCGCTTTGGTCGAGGAGCAGCCGAGCTGCTCCTCGTTCGACGATTCACCAACCACGATTTTTTCCCTCTCCGACGCGCGAACTCTCCTGTTCTCACCACCAACCAAACTTTCCTTCACACGGCTACTCTGTCGTATTATTACCGTTTTACGAGCAGAACGCGAGAAACAACGCGTTCGCGTATCGTCGACGCGAGAAAAACGCGAAGAACGATGCGGGAATAGGATCGACGCGCGACACGCACGACCACCACGACCAACACCGAACGGCGATAAAGATAATGTCGCGACGATAGGGAACCGCGACAACGATGTCAACGAACACAAGGAACGGCGATGACGATCGACGACAACGGCGGCAAGAACGGCGGCAAGAACGGCAGCAACAGCGGCGGCGGCGGCGGCGGCGGCGGCGGCGGCGACGACGACGACGGCGACGGCGACGACGACGACGACGGCGACGACGACGACGACGACGGCGAAAGCAGCTGCGGCTGCGGCGGTAACTCGCAGGGACGCGCGTCGCTCGTTCTCAAAGTGGCAAACGCTCTCTCGGTCGAGTCGGGAGTATTTCCCTACCCAGTCACAGATGTAATAAATAAAAACATCAGTGGGAGCTCGAGGAACGGGGAGGATGGGCGTTCTGTGCGCGCAACCGACTATCCGGTTGGCGGAGCCACCGGGGTGGCAGTTCTCCCTATTGGACGGTAACCTCGTACCGTCGACGCCTTTCGAACCTTCCCTCGGCTGGTGGCGGGACGAGCGAGCGTTCCCCACTACGAGGCAACCTCTGCCACCGACGACGCGACGCGCACCGACGATGCCGACCGGGACGATTCCGGGGGCGACTAACACACGGAGACATCCAGACGCAGACGCGAGTCTCGACAAGACAGTACGATTCGAACCTACCGCCGATCTACGCGCTACGAGTGGGGATTTCTTCTTTTTCCTCGCGACCTCTCTCCGCCACCCTGCGCTCCCCCTCCCTCTCCCCCTCCCTCTCCCTCTCTCTCCCTCTCTCTCCCTCTCTCTCGCCTCGCCTCGCCTCGCCTCGCTCGCTCGCTCGCTCGCTCGCTCGCCTCTCCTCCCCTACAGTCAGCCGTGTTGCTCCTCGCCGCGCCTCACCTAAACCTAACCTCCCCCTAGCGCGCCAACCCACCCCACCGTTCCTTGTCGCGTTTCGGCTCTTCCCTTCTCCTTTCTTCTCTTCCACTTTTTCCTTCCTTCTGCGCGATATACATACCTCCCCTCCCTTCCTTTTTCTTTCTTCTCTTCCGTTCACCACTCGTTTTTCCCCCTTTCGTTTACCGACCACCACCCTCTCTTCGCTTTCTTCGTACACTTTTCTCCCTCGCCTTCTTCTTCTTCTTCTTTCCATTCTCTTCTCTTCTTTTCTCTTCTCTTCTCTTCTTTTCGCGCCCTCTTTCTTTTTTTTTTTTTTCTCTTTCTTTTTTGCTTTCTTTCTTTCTTCCTTTATTTCTCTTTTCTCACGCACACGCGTCCCACTCTGTTTCCAACGAACGCGACCTCTCTCTCTCTCTCTCTCTTCTTCCTTCCTACCTATCTACCTACCTACCTATCTACCTACCTACCTACCTACCTACCTACCTACCTCCCTCCCTTTCTTCTTCCAGCTTCTCCTCCCACTTTGGCTTACGGCTTATACGCTCTCTCCGACTCGCGCTCTCTCGCGGCAGTAGTCTCCACCTCGTTTCCTCTTTCGCACCCGTCCTATTCTCCTTTGCTCCCCCCCGCCGCCTCTCTCTCCCTCTCCCACCGTTCCGTTTTCATGCCCAACCGTCTCTCTCTCAGGTTTCTCCCCGTGTTCCTCGGCTCTCTGTCCGTGTACGACGAAGAATGTCGCCGGCGTTCGAATCGATCGGTCGGTCTCCGCGCGCGCGGGGGGTCCCCCCTTCCGGAACTCGTATCCTCTCCTCCTCCACCTCCTCCTCTCCCCCTCCCCCGTAGAGAAAGAGCCTCCTCCTCCTCCTCCTCTGCCACCTTCTTCTTCTCCGTTCCCTCGTTCGGATCTCCTCTACCATATTCGCCATCAGCATTACACGAGCGCACTTATTTCTTCTGTAGGTAACTCGGCTCGCTTCCTCGCGATCTCTCTCGCTGCCTCCTCGACCACCCTCTTCCGCCCCTCTGCCCGCCACCCCTCCTTCGACCAACTACCTCTCCCCCCCCTCCACCTCCTCCTCCTCCTCTTCCACCTCCTCTTCCACCCCCTCAACCTTCGCTGCCACCGCTCCTCCCCCTCCCCCTCCTCCACCTCCTCCTCCTCCACGGCGGCATACGCGATATATACCATATACCCGACACTCTCCACGGCTCTCGGTAAGCTTCGAGTATGAGTGCTTAATATCTTTGTACCATACCCGAACCGTCCGTATTCGCCGATGCCTCTTACGTCCGAACTTTCGCCTCGAGCCTCTCCTCTCTCTCTCTCTTTCTCGTTCGCTAATTTCCACCGCCATTTATTCCTATAGTACGCGCCCCGTCAAAAACTTCTATTTTCACTGTACGCGATTGCATCGTGTTCAAAATACGTATATATAACACGTATATATATATTCGAAATTTGAATTGAAGTTATATCTACTGTCTATAACATAAGGTGGATAAAGAGATATCCCAGATAATTGAATTGTTGTTTCTAGATCCGTGTGTAATCCATATGTACGAGGTAATCGTGAAACCTCGCAAATGTTGCAACGTATCTTAGAAAAACGATGAAGACGTTAAGAGGGACAAGTATTTCTGAAATCGATAGGCGCGAAACGAGACGAATTAAGAATCGAGAAACTGGAAGGACTACTGCTGCTAACGTTAAGTATGGTAAAAGGTGAGAATGGAAGAGCTGTCGAGATGCGTGAGGAAAAAAGGAAGGGAGAGGGGGGAGAAGCATCGTCCAGCCTTTTTCCACCGGTCAACCCCCGATCAGTCCTCATCAGCCTGGTGACCCAGATCGAACGAGGAAAGACCCTCCTCGTTTGTTACGATATATATATATATATATATACGTAACAAGCTTCGCACGCGTATTCCTCCACCGCAGCTGATCCCTTGACCTCGTGCAACCCCAAACGAAACGAGACCCCCTGGGCCTAACGTTCATTGACCACTCGTTTCAGAGAGTTTCGATCTTCTTCCATTTTTCCAATGGAATCTCTTCTTTTAAATACCTTCGTTCCATTTCCTTCAAATTTCAACAATTTCGATCGAACCATCGTCGTCGTTGACGACGATAATTCGTGTCTTTCTCGCCGCGAATCTGAACAAAAGAGATAGATTCTGAAGAGAGGGAAAGATTCGTGAAAAGAAGAAGGGAGTAGGGATATCGGTTTGCATGGACGATAAAGCGATCGTATGCGGCGAAAAGGCGATCGATCGCGAGATCCAAGAGTCCCTCGTCCGGAGGAAGGTCGAGGATCGGTAGGGGACCGATGTTTGCCACGAACCAAACCACGTCCAATTAGTGGAATTAATACCGGTTGGCTTTGGGGGAGCTAATGCCTCTGTGTGCATACCTACGGGTATGCACGTCGATGACTGCACTTTCCTTCGTGCGTAATGAAGGACAATCCCGTCGGTTGGGCCGAGGCAGAGCCCGATGCATTCGCTCGTCCAAGCAACCGCTACCTCCTCTTGTTTTGCGGTCACGAGAAAATATCTCGAGCCCACGAGATTACGACTTTGAGCGTGGCCCGTGGACTAACGGATCTTCGTGTCTTTCTCGGCCAACCCCCCAACGACGTCCAATCTATAATTCGCAATTCGTTGTTTCGTCGTCCTCGAAAAAACAAATCGATACGAAAATCGTCTCCTTCCTCTTCTCGTTCTTCGCTCGAGGAAAAAAGTTCTTGGGAAAAATTTTTTTCCCTCGAATCGCGGTAAAATTAAGTACACGTTCGTCGGGGGAAAGGGAAACGACGATCGTGGACAGACGGATTTTCAGGCAAGTCGGGTGAGTATGATACGCATTGTTCGAGCGTTCACTGGGAGTGCGGCTAGCAGCGTTCCTGTTACTGCTCATTGGCCACCCTGCACGGGAGAATTGCGCGAAGCGCAAGCAGAGAGAAACACGCCTCTCTTTGTCTTTCTCTCTCTCTCTCTCTCTCTCTCTCTCTCTCTCTCTCTCTCTCTCTCTCCGTGCATAGCGTTGTTACGTAACCCTCGTCATTGTTTGCGCGTCGTCGTCACAGAACTGTAACAGAGCGTACGGCAAAAAGGAGGGTAACGTGTAACGTTGGGATAAGAGAGGGAGAAAAAAGCGCGAATTTTTGTCGAAAGAGCATGCATAGAAGGAAGGTATTCCGCGCCAACCAACCGGACACGCGTCAGAAGGACTTCACTGCACCGGAAGCGTCGCTCTTCTCCGTTTCTTTGTCCCGAGCTTCTCTGTCCCGTGTATTTACCATAACCCGCGACACGGATTTTTGTCCAGCTTATTTTTTTTTTTTTTTTTTTTTTTTTGCCTCCGTTATCCTATCTCCATTAGTCGCGTTACCTAGCGTAAAAAAAAAAAAAGAGAGAGGAAGAAGAAAGAAAGAAAGAAAGAAAAGGAAGAGAAGGATCGATGCTCGTGTACAACGTATTTATATCGTGGAGTCGGATCGAAGCTAGCGATCGTCTTCTTTGCCGTCTTGTCCGTCGCTTCGATCGCTCGACGGTGTTTCCGCTTCTCTCTCTCTCTCTCTCTCTCTCTCCATTTTCCTCCTTCGTATTTCGTACCGCCCCGTCTTTTTTTATCCCTCGTCGTTTCGATTCGTCACCGATATACGTGTATATCGAAGGCAAAAGGGAACATCGATCGAATTAACGTAATTACTCGTTCGTGCAAGATACGCGCGCGTCGTGGCAAAACAGGCGTCAAAGTCGATCGAGAGTCACGAAAGAGCGGGAATTTTACAAAACGTTAATTGCGCGCGGTTTATATATATATATATATATATAGAGAGAGAGAGAGAGAGAGAGGACGCGGCATGGCACAGAGAGGTGGCCGGGCACGAGAGAGAAAAATCAAGAGCTAAAATAATGGATTTTGAGGCGGGATGAAAAACGACGGTAATTTTTCTGGACACGTACGCCACCGTTCGGTTTTTCAGCGCGGCTTACGCGCAACTAATTACCCATATGCCACGTGTTATTATAAATAGCCAATCGTTACCGACACAGCCGCATCCGCGATTCGCCCATAATGGCGTGTTATCGGATAAATAAAACGGATAGCCACGGGAGGGTGCGCTCCGATTATGCATCGACGCCTCTCCCGTGAGCGTATGTACCTACTCTCTGGCCACCCGTACTGTTTTCCCAACCAACGACCAGCTTTTATTTCTCGTCGACTTTAATCCGCACGCTGACGGCAACGCCGATCACTTTTATTCGTTATACGACGCTCTCGATTCTCGCTCCCTTTGAATATCTGCTCGGCGAAACGAGGATGCCTTCCATAAAAAGGGGGGAAATTATTAAGAAAAGCGACGAAAAAGTCGATACCGCTTAACTTCGAAATTTCAATTTTTTTCAATCTTCCGTCTTTCCCTTTTTTTTTTTTTGTTTCTTTTTCTCTCTCTCTTTCTTTCTCCCCCCTCCCCCCTATAATAATGATAAACGAAATTTCTTGAAACTCGTAACAAATCCACGCGTTTCGATAAGATAAGAATAAACTTCTACGATGGATTTTTCTTTTTACTCTTAATTTAAAAGCAACGAGCGAGGGGGGATTGGACAAAATATATCTAATAGCTTCCTACGCATCCGCATGGATGACGCGTTGGTCCGCCATGATATTCAAACTAAACGCATTAGAAAGCTCATTTAAATATAACACAATGCACGGAGCGGTCCATGGGCGCACGGTATCATTGGTCGGTCGGAATAATTCTGTCCAAAAACGGTCGGGCCGAATATTGTCGAAACACTTTGCCGATTCTTCCATTCACGGTGCAAAACTGATTAGCGCATGCCACTCGACGGGATGACTTGCGGTATTCCAGGTTTGGTTAACGGCTAAACCGAAAACGTCATTCGATTCGCAAGCGGTATGGCGTTGGTTAATCGCGGGGCTCGGCCCTTCTCTCTCTCTCCCCCTCTCTCCCTCTCTCCCTCTCCCCACGTCAATACTTTTCCACGGCGAACGCGCGACGCAAGACAATCACGTCGACACCCGGTGATGGATGTCCTCGCTGCTCAAAATACCCCCCTCAGTTTTCCCGCCAATAAAGCCCATTGTAAATGCGAACTATTCGAAATATTAGAGCGGCAACGGCGATTACCGGCCGTTCAGTCATCGCTTCTGACGCACCGTAATCCTTTCCATCTTCCTCCGCGTCCTTTTTTCCTCTCCCGCCGCCGCTCACCGCCTCGCCACCAACTCTCGCCGACACGGCCTAAGTCCGCATCATCCCCGAATCTCCCTTTCCCCCCCCCCCTCTCTCTCTCTCTCTCTCTCTCTCTCTCTATCCTTAGCCCGATCGTCGATCGACTTCCTTGGCCCGTCAGGTAAGGAAAAGGGAAAAAGTTTCCGATCGAATGTCGAAACATCCTGGTGACAGCATATCTATTATTACACGGCAAAGGTTGTCCCTCTATCCGCCGCTGACAATCCGACGTGCCTCGTGCTCAATGAACAGCGTAACAATACTATTTCAGCAACCGCGGCCAAGAAGACAAGACCGAGTCCGATGGCTGTGCCGTACCAACGTGGAACGGTAACGAACCACCTCCCTGTCACATCTCGTTATCAACCCGAACTCCTTCGCCTCGTTTATAATGGGGGAAATCTCCCCTCCCTCCCCCCTACCGCACGAGATTGCGTTTCTTTTTTTTCTCGAATCACACTCTATACGCGAATACGAAGTATATGGGAATATTATCCATCGATCGTTCAACGATTCTGTGAACGTTGACCAATGATTTTTCGATCGGCTCCGTTCGGTTTCCGTTCATCCTCGACGAGAGATACGACGAGAGGAAGATTGGATTCGGTCGCATTCCTCCGGGACTAGGCGAGCATCGAAAAGCTTAAATAGATAGGATTACTCGCGATTCGAAATTTATTTACACCGGCCTTAATCCCTATTATAGCCGCACGCGTAGCCCGAGGAAATGGCCGAGCAATTTCGGATTTCGACTGCCGAGAGATGATGGATCGCCGTTTCGTAGGCCCGCTCTGATGATACGCTCGCAGATGTAACCTCCGCACCCTTTTCGGGACGAGACCACTTGCCGGTGATTATCGATTAAACGCATGCACATCGCCTCGATTCTCTCGCCCTGCCACCGCTTTCCTTCTAGCTCCCCTCCCCACTCCCCTTCTCTTACTTTCCCTCCTTTCCTTCCCTTCCTCGGTTTCCATTCTCTCTCTCTCTCTCTCTCTCTTTCTCTCTCTCGACATCTGGAACTCGTGACGAAATTAATCTCTCTCTTTCTCCTCACCTCGCCTCGTACGCCTCGAAACAACCAAAGTTTCCAGTTTAAGGGATAAAAGGCGATTCGATTGTCGAGAGGTCGAGTGGCAAGTTCGCGATCGCGAAAAGCAGACGTTGCGAGCCCGAGGTATGGTTTCAGTATGAAACTTAGATATTGTCTCGCGCCCTGTAACGAGCAATCTCGATAGGATTAAAACGTTGTTTACCGGAACAGAAAGCCGGGAGTTTGGGTTTACTTGGCGTAGTCGACACAGGCGCATCCTGGCGGCCTCGGCTTCCCGGCCAATGCATACGTTTACAGGAACGCGTTGTGTTCTACTCTTCCCTCCCTCCCGTTTAACTTCTCTCGTTACGCGAGTTACTCGAACCGGCCGGTCTATCGAACTTGCCGATAAAAATTAACATCCATATAGCAGAGTCGACGGTAAGCCACTCGAGCGAGCATTCGACGACTTCCGGAAATGTCTAACATATGTTGCCACTTCAGATAATCCAATGCTTTTACAATAATCTAATCAGCATCGCGGAACGAGAAATACGTTTGAACGATCAAATCTACTACGGTTCCCTTAAATGCATTTCGACCCGAGCTATCAAAGATAATGTAACTTGCTTACTCTTCACCCGGTTATACATCTGTCGCACATGCTTCGTCGATTTCGTGTACGAAAATTTCGATCGGGATTTCTCTTTGATTTCGAGGGAAACGATTGCGTCGCATCGCCGTCCCGGATAAATAATAATAGATGCGAGTTCGAGTGCACGATACGCGACGAGGGACGAAACATTTTTTAACGAAAAGAATGGTAGGAAGTGGTGAAACGAGTCGACTAGGGTGGGTAGGTAGGTAGCTTCGTAAGAATTTTGTTGGAAAGCTGAAAGTCAGACGAGCAAGTTAGAATACGCCTGAGGTGGTACAAGCTCCTTCGACTTTATAAATAATAAATTCGCGTGAAAACAGAGAGACAAAGAGGAGAGAAAAGGAAGAAACCAGTATGGAGGAGACACAATGTAAAGGGGGAGAGAGAGAGAGAGAGAGAGAAAGAGAGAGCGTTGTAAAATAAGATACGATGGCGAGGGAGGTTAGAAAGAGATAGAGAAAAAAAGAGAGACAGAGACAAGTAATAATAAAGAGCAAGCAGTAAGAGCAGCGAAGTGACGTCCTGTGTCGCGGAGTCATAAACTGGGCCCCAGGATCTCAGGCTTACACTCTTATTAAAACGTCGTCCTGCATATTGACGGTTATTGATCACCTTTCGCACACCTCGCTGCTTTTACGATACAAGGTTCGTATCACCTTGAAAACCATGGATACTCTTAACGTTCGTAAACGCTTCGATGATATCTATATAGAAATTTACATTTGATCTTGTTTAATGATATCGCATCCATAAAAACGATGATACAAGTGTATATTTTATAATTATTAGATTGGAACGAAACGTTCATTTCTATGTTTATTGCCAATATTTCAGAAATATTATCCTCGTAAAAGTTTGTAGATTTGTAATGTTGCAATAGAAAAAAAAAAAAACCATTAGGATTAATCAAATACGAACGATAAATTCAATATTTTTTAAAACGTTATTTTTCAAAAATTATAATCTGTGAATGTTATTAACGCATTTTTTCCTGAATATAGAAAAATTGTATGGTGAAACTTTATATATATATTATAGATATTCAGAAATCATGATATTGATAATTTCGTTCTCAAATATAACTCGTAAGATAAAATACCTACCGTTGATAATATAGTTGTTTATAAAAAAAATATGACATGTCTACAGTTGATAATGTAGCTGTCTACCAAAAGAAATAGAACGTTTTATAAAATTTTATGTTGTTCTAACATACCGACCTCGATCAGTATTTTTGATTGAGATTGATACGTTAGAACACGATACAAAGTTCTGTAAGTTCTGTCATGTCTATCCTGTTTCTCGTCTGAGATGGTACATTGTTGTGCAATTTATTTGCAATTAAATACATCAAAAGAAATTACTTTAAATATAAAATTGAATTATACATAAATATAATTTGCATATAAAACATATTATTCTGTTTAAATAGTACAACGATCGAAGCGAAATTAACTTATGATTTTTTTCTCACTCAGTAACTGTTGCTTAGTAGATTATCGAGAATTATAGATAAGTTTTAAATGATACGTAAATTATTATCCATAAATTCGAAACAAATATTTTAAAATATGAAATATTAAACGCTATAATTTTCTGCTAATATTTTATTTATTTATTTATATATTCTAATACTTTATTAATTTTATAGTTTATTAATATATTGTAATGATTTACAATATTATAATTTTGTAAATTTATTAAATTTATAAAAAATTTTTCATAAATATATTAAATTATTCTATAATCTCTTTTTATTTATTAAATTTTTTAATCAGAAGAAATTTCCTATTTTTGATTTATTAAATTTATCGTTTCTCAAATAATTTACAATACGTGATAAAGAATATTTGAGCTATGAATTTAAGAAATTAATATGAATCTAAATTAATATTAAATTTGTTTTGAATACATCTTTTGAATAAATTTTTATAATAATTGTAAAATTTCTATTTCTACACGAAAGAAAATTGTATAAATAATCTATTTTATATTTTGTTTGTTTGTTACTTATTTCTCTTTAATAGAGAATTTCGTTTATAATTTCTCCTTTTATCGATCATTGGAATTTCTTTTTACCAACCGTTAAAATTACTGCCTAACTGCTGCTATCTAGTGGAGAAAATGTGTTTAGATTGGGCGTACTCGCTTGATTGCGTCATAAGAGAAACTGATTTTCCTAGGTAGTCAGCCATATTGACTCGCGTAAGAACATCGAAAGCAGTTCCGTATTTGTCGTGCTTACGGTTGCAATTAGATGGTGCGTTACTATTACGGAAATTTTCCAATTAGTTACATTTTCCATGAACTGTAATCACTTGTTGAACGAAGAATTTGAAAATAATAAGGTATGTAACCAATAATACTTGTACTTGTCAGGGGACTATTTGAAAATGCTGCTAGTATGGGCCGTGGTCACAGTCAGCGTCGCCCCGCGATTCGACGAACCTGTTTCGTATTCGTAGCTGTCGTTAGAATTGGAACAAAAATTGTTTATGTGCTTATAATAGAAATACTGCGTTACTTAGTTGAAAAAAAAAACAATTAGTGCTTTAATCTTGTGCATTTTGTTTTATTATATTTTTATCTGCGATTTTCTTATCGTAGTGCATCATTTAAAAAAGAATCGCGTCTTTATCTTAGGTAAGTTTTATAGTTTTTCAGAATTCAATTATACGTGTATTATCTTCATGACATACTGAAATATAATTCTTTTAAATTCTTTTAATAATATTTAACTTTCCAAAATATTAATTATGAAATTATTAACATTCGTACTTTGAATGTAATGGATTGGAATTTACGCTTTGAAATATAATGTTTACTATCATTAATGATAGTAATAATTATAATAACTTTTATGTAGCGTATTTTTTATTATTTTATTATAAATATTTATTCAAATTTTCGCTTAAAAATTAATATTATACGAGAGATAAATATTTTTCACATAACCTCCAGTGATATTAAAATATGTGATGAAAGAAATAATATTTTATCGGCTAATATATGCATTAGTTATGACATATATAATATTTATACGAATGTGCGTTATATTTCAATCAACATATACAAAACATCTGCTTAGTCAAATTGATAGAAATTTTTGATATACGTTGTTTCATGTCAGTATTTATTTCTCTGAATTGCATGAATATTACATCGTGCAACATGTGAAATACTATGTTGCTTGTTTAAATTTGTAAAAAAATTAACTATTAGATTTAACAGTGATATAATATATAACATTCAGTAATATTTAAAAAAATTTATGGATATGATCAAATGTAAAAATCTTGACAGGCGTAGAATCAATACATACAAGATAGAACGCACGAATGCATTCTTTGCATACCATGTATTATATTTCTTCAAAAAAATCATCCATTCTCTCGGAAATTGTGATATAACGAAACGCGCAGAATCCACTGGAAATCCGTTATTAAGCAAAAACTGAAAAGTTTATTATTATTACAGAGAACGAAAATAATTGATATTAATGATTGAAAATAATTGAATTTTATAGTCTATCGATTAAAAATTTGCTATCGTATTCTGTCTTTTATGATCTTGAGGATAAAATGCTTTTAAAAAATACATGTTAATATTTTGCTACAAATACTACTTTATCTCTCTCTTTGTATATTTAATTAATACAAAAAGAATATAAAAATTTATTTGCTGGCTATTATTCAAAGTTCATCCTTAAAATCTGAAATATATACACTGTATTTCTGAAAGTAAAAGCAATCATACAATCTCATCATTTACAAACTTACTTTAAGCTTCGGGATTTCGTCATTTTCCAGTGAGTGCTTGTTACGAGCAATTAGGTCAATTATACACTTTGTCACAAAGACGCCAGCTTTTTTGAAATTTACATTAATCTCACGTTTCTAGCTCTTGCCAATAATCGATCGGAACTATTCTTTATGCATTTCTACAATGTTTTATTCTTCCAAGAGAAATATTTATTATTCTTTCTATATTATAAAAATTCTATTTATAACAAAATTTATTATCATTTATACAATAACAGAGTTTTAAAAAATATTTTATTCATTTTAATTTTTTCAAGTTAAACCAAATAACGTATAAACAAACTAAATATAGATTCTAAAGTGTATTTAAAATTATTACCACAAACGGTATATAACCGTTAACCAAAGCAAGGAAGTGTACTCGTTGGCAATGCATAGAGAGGTGTGACGCTGATAGGAGGTAACACACGACATGACTAAAGTTACAATGAACTTGGGGGAACCAAGCTTACACACCTTTGTAAAATATAATATATAATGCGGTTTTCTCATATATACAACAAATGGTGCATGTGAACGAATATCTGATTAGCAATCTTTGATTGGTAATTCCAAAATAATGAAATAAAATTTTACGAAAATAATAACATCGTCGTGATCTAATATATCTAATATAAATTCAACAAACTATCGAAAATAGAATAAAGTTTTTATTATTTTTAATATTACATTTATCGATTTATTCGCTATGCCTGATAAATATTATCCAAAGTAAACTAAAAGCGCGCGATGTGTATCAATAAATAATATTCATTGCGTATGATAATCGTTCTTTTTATCAAATTTATCAAATAATACTTTCTATTTGTTGATATTAGATATCAACTTATTGATAAGTCACATGGTATTTTTATCAAGGTCTACCAACCGAAATAAGATCTCGACTAAATTGTAATAGCAGTTGCGCCAAGCGTATCACACCTGTTAGCGTACTACAAGTAAGCGTGCTCCGCGTGGTTGCTCGATTCACGTAAAATTTAATTGTACGGCTGGCTGACATTCGCGTAGTAGTACCAGTCTTCCGTAAAGCAATCGCCGGAAGTATCGGCGTTCACCGCACGAAAGAAACTTGGAGGATAAATGCGAACAAGGCGTGGCTATGATCGTCACGTGTTTCGTTATACTATGATTGGAATTGCAATTTACCATCAACTTAAATAGCCTTCCGTCTAATTCTTTGTACTATTTGTATTCAGAGCAACACGTATATTGTATATATATATATCGATACATATAAAATGTAAATTACTACATTGCAAGAACTGCATTCAAAGATATGGAGTTGAATTTTTTTTTTGAATTCTGAATCTGAATAATTCTTATACAAATATAAAATAATAAAATTAATTGAGAAAAACGCATATAGGCATGGAAATTATTAAATATATGATGTTTCAAAAAAAGGTTTACTTGAGAAATCAATATAGAACATCATAGTTCGTAATTTTAAGCTATGGATTTAAATTTTTTCAAATATTTTACGAGTTTTTTCTCCGTATTCACATAGAACACACGTACGTTCGCGCAACGTTTGTGCTTTGATTAAATCGCGCATGTAATCAACGAGATACGTGCTTTCTTTCTTTCGCTTTTTCTATTTCCGTCATGGCCGCTTGCCGCATCTAATCGGCAAACGTATTTTCTCCTCGACGAAACCACGCGGTACTTACGTCGAATCGCGTTTATTTTTTACCGTTCTTCCCCTAGAAAGCCTGAGATTCGTGCATTTTTAAAATAATCGGTCACTTTCGCACTCGACCATCGAAGAAAAAGTATGAAATCAGGGACGTGAGACATTTTCTAGAAATGGGGAAACTTTTCATAAACGGGAAACATGGTAATGCTAGGCTCGGTGAACGATTTAACCGTGAAAAAGAAGAGCGCAATAACGACGTGGTGTAACAGCGTCGTGGTAGGACACGGCTAATTATCTCGGTTTACGCGGGGAAAAATCACTCGTAAAAAAATGGCCATTGTTATGGCATTAAATCACTGTGTGAAACTAGAGAAGCAGAAGATCGTTTACGTTTCGTTTACGTTCCTATGCAAAAATTCTTATTGCATTTATTCTGTCATGAAACTTGGAGGAATTTAGAGAAAACAGATTGTATGAGTTTTGATCGATAACGATATAATCAAGTTTAAAATTTAATCGCGCTGTATGTAACCAAACTCTTGAAATTATTATAAATTACAGGGTAATTAAAATTAAAAGTGAGTCATGCGGCATGGTGCGTGACACGCGACCAAGGCAGCGTGTATTATATTTTTTTCATCGATGACGAGCTCTCGAGTTTTTTAATTCTACATGCACGTAACAGAGGGACCCTTGGAACACTTGTGAACGTATCCTCGTGTAAAAATACGCAAGGGGGCCGGTGGCGTGGAGTGTTTAATTAAAGTACGAACCGTTCGTCGTCTCTCGATTCGATAACACACGAAGTCTTACTCTTTAGATCGAAAAAAAAAAAAAAACATAATCGCTCGTTAATTCTGTGGTTTGAAATTACAGGGTAAGGTGTTTGGTCGTTCTTCGAGGTGGATAAATTTGCGCGTAAACCGCGCGGGGAAGAACATAGGGGTGAATTCAGCGAGTGAAATAGAGAAGAATCGGTGGAATTCTGGTTGGTAAAATTTTCGACGACGTTTTTACAGATCTCAACCCTTTAATTTTACGCATCAAAGAATACTCCTCGCCTTCTGTGTCTGTCCTCCCGCTCTTGCCTTCTCACCCCTTCAATTCCTACCATTGAAACTCGCGACAGAGGAAGACCTACGATGAATGCCGTTGCGAACCCGATGAAAGAAAGGGTTGAACGAGAGAGCGAGATAAACGCGGGGAGGGAACCCCTTGCTTGCGATCGGTGAAACGAGACGCGTCTGCACGACACCCGATAAAAACTGTCCCAACTTGAGTACGCACCCTCGCGTATGAATCGGCTCTACAATAAATCTGGCAGTGTTTGTACCCGCTACGGAAATCACCGCTATACCGCCATCATCTCGTACAAAACGAGCTCTCCACCCTCATCTTCCGTCACATTCCCTTTTACCATAATTTTCACGCACGAGAAACTTGTTCCCGTTTCTCGTTAATTTCTCTCGAATCAAATACTCGTCGAAGTAACTGGGATAGATTTTGATTTTTCTTTTTTTGAAAGATTTTCTTTCAAACAAAATCGTGTAGCCTGGACGAAAATAATATAGCAACCAATGATATCATTCTATTCTCGAAACGAATCGACGAATATTTTATCGCTTTAAAAATCGAATGATTTGGTATAAAAAAAAAAAAAAGAAAGTTGTTCTTTCTAATCGTGCAAGTTGTACAACTAGGCACGTTTCTAGGTAATAGAAAGCTATTATAGAAATACACCATTTGAACCTGATTTCTAAGTTTGGCTATGTTTCAGCGATCGTTTGTTGCTGTTTTTGCCAACCGGAAAATTATTAGTCCGCAAATATCCGACCGCGATGTACAATGCGAAACGTCGATCGATCAAACATCCCACCGTGGAGATTCCCCATTCTTGCTTCTTGCGTTCTTTGGAAGAACCCAGCTGGGCTTTTCATCGATTCGTCGCTACACGATGTCGCACACGCGATGCCGGAGGACTGGTATTATGTTGAAGTCGACACGAGGGATTTAAATGCCGCGTCCGCTTCTGCTCGAATTGGAGTCAACGTGTATCCATTCACGTACGATCGCAAAACACTACCACCACGAGGCTAATAAACCCAGTCGTGCATGCATATGCAAAACTGTTTTCTAATGAATCCTCCGTGCTCTTCGTCCTCTTCCGTGGATACGGTTTGCGGAATCATCGATCCGTTATCCGCGTATCAATGTTCGATGTGGCGTATAGGTTGACACTTAATCTGGATCGACGATTGAAACTGAGATTGAGATTCCGTTAACTGGAAAACGCAGCTTAATATATCGTTTGCTTGGATTTCGTTAAGCTCGCTTTATATCGTTTGGATTTCGAAATAATATTTTCCAATATTTTTTTAATTTTTGCAAAAAAATTTTGCAGACTTTATTATTAAATCCAAGTTATTTTCGCAATTAATTTATTTTCGCAACAGGTGCGTGAGAATAAATATACTTGTGTTTTTTTGTTTCATTCTTACCACATCGTTTAAGAATTTATTTATTTTAGTTTGATAAATTCGATGTTTGAAAAAGAAACGATTCTATAAATTCCGAGTGAAATTTCTTCTATTTTTTTTTTTTTTTTTTTTTTTTTTTTTTTTTTTTTTTTTTTTTTTTAGCCTAAACCAACGCAACGTCTCGAAAATTACTCCGCGCTGTGAGAGATATGAATTTATTCATTAAAGACGATAGCTCTTTAATGCGCACAGAGGATGAGATGTGTTCACGTAACGTCACCAACCGTGTAGTACACATGATAGATCGATGTAGGCGTGTGCCGTGGATCACGCGACCCTCGTTTACAATAAGCTCTCTTTGACGCATGACCAAATGAAACCCACGCATCTCTTGAAAGGATCTCTCTCGCGACGTTGGCGAAAAAAGCGGATTCTTTCAGACCTGCTCGCTCCATTCAGCAGGCCTTTAAACTTTCAACTGACCCGTTAGCAAAACGAGACGATCGACCGGTTTCTTCTACTCGCTGATTCAGCCTCGTAGATTCAGCTTTAACTTTTAAATGCTTATTTGATATCTATCGGGATCTTGAGTGTGATCTGCGCATATGCATCGAGCGCGCATATACCTCTTACTAAGAATTTCTGGAATATCGTTGATCCATTTAGTCAAGAATTAACTTGGTCAATCGTATTAGAGTATATGCTTAGGTGTAGTATTGGCCGGCACGTCATCGTATTTCCTAATCGGGATATTATTTCATCGGTCTCGTAAAGATGAAGAACGTTTTGTTCTAGCGATGATGACGTCAGAATTTGCGAATCAACACTAACCATTATTTTTATGAATTCTACCGTCTTTTCTGTGAAATTTAAATCATAGACATATTCGAATCTTTAATATAAATTTAAATTTCTTGTGATTCAATTAATCATCGATATTCTATTTATATCATCGATATAGAAAGTTTATTCTATTTTATACCAAGGTATTACGTTACAGAGCTGTTTTCTCTTGTTTGTTCTCTCTCTCTCTCTCTCTCTCTCTCTCTCTCTCTCTCTCTCTCTCTCTCTCGCGTTTAATCACAACATTGCGTAACAACGAAGCAGGGCCCGGATTTATATAATTACTTTTTTGTTGAGATCGATGGGGTTTTGTTGTTGTGTAACATGATATTCGAATTGAATGTTAAACCGTGATTTCCGTTTAATGATACGCGTAGAGTTCTCTCTCCTTCGTGCATCTGCTCGTGCGTGACGTACAGGGTCAGCTTCGATTCCTGAAACAAATCGCGAAAATCTCGTTGGAGGAATCGTTGCGAGCCCGTTTTTCCCCTCGTTCTCTCGGCTTGCCGCGTTAATAGTATTTGCAACGACAAACAACATCCTAGTATGGCTCTGATTCCATGCAATTGAGGTTGAATTACTATTTGCTCTCCGGCATTGCATAAGGGAATCTACACAGTATTCGCCGACTCGAATGGTAGAGTAGAGTCGACAAAGCGTGTCGGTCAGGGTCGCGGGTATATTATCTCACGATTATTTTTGATTTCTAAAAATTGAATCTCGTTTTTCTGCGTTATTATACAGATATGTACTCTATACACATACATTTCCCTTCGAAACCTTTTTCCAATCAAATCCTTCGAAACACGTTCTTCGATCGATCGTAAAGCAGATATGATTTTTATAGCCGGTTTATCGCGTCTAATAATATCTGACTTGTATATTTTGATAGGCATGGCATTATAAATATCGCGGCTTTATTGGCTTTGTATCGAGATATCGCTCTTACGCGGGGACTTGAATACCTGTCTATCTGTCTTTGTCAGAAGGCGAACGACCTGTGATAAATGTACACACGTGTTTTTATTGCGGATAATTACATAACTATATTCTTACATGCTTATTATTTGTTCTCAAACTTCTTACGAAATCTAATAGTAATATATTTTTTTTTTTTCGCCATATCTTATATGAATGGATTCCAAAGATTATACAAACTCATTGAAGTATAATCGAACATATCATTACAGAATGCAATAGAGATATAAAATATAATTCTATTTACAATATTCTTTTTAAAATAAAAACATTTATATTAGATAAAAATGTATAGTAATGTTAAATAAATGTTAAATATTACGACAAAAAAGAAATTAATTTCTTATTAGAAAAGATTTTATTCAAATTATATAAAACAATTTCAAATCCAAAGTATTTCATAATAATCTTCTTTATCTCTCTCTTTATCTATTTATCTCTCTCTTTCTCTCCTTAGTTAATGAGGTAGGACCAGGGCGTTTTATAGACGGGGTACATGTAACTCGAACAGCTCCGACAAATATTGATTATTTCTCTATATGGCACCCTCGAGTCTAGGCAGGATCTATACTCGAATATATTGAAACAACACGCGATATTTCTTCGATATAAACGACAATTAAGAAAATGGATTTATTTAGAAGATTATTATTTCATTCCTTATCCTTCCTGTACAATGTGTTGAATTGACACACGGAATCTTTTTAGTACAGGGTTGAAATATGCCGGAGGAACAGAAGTCTGCTGGTGGTCAACCAGAAGTAACAGCAGAAAATGGAACCGATACAAACTCGCCAACGAAAAGTCCAGTCAGCAAAGGCAAAACAGCTCTTGCAAGGATTACATTGTTGGATGGAACAGTGAAAGATTTTCATATAGATGTAAATTAACAATTTTTGTTTTCGTTCTGTCAAAAAAATATAATATGTATTGGTTTAACGAGATTGCATGAAAAATTGATTTTATTTCAGAGAAAAGCAAAAGGCCAAGAGTTACTTGATATGATATGTCAAAGTATGAATTTAATGGAAAAAGATTATTTTGGTCTTATTTATGAGGACAGGCACGATTCACGAAATTGGTTAGATTTGGATAAAAGAATTGCAAAATTTATAAAAAGTACATAGACATTTTCTTTCTTTCGATATATACATTATGTAATCATTGTTAGAATTAATTGTTGATTTTACAGATGATTTTTGACTTTTGCAGACGAACCATGGAAATTTAATTTCGAGGTGAAATTTTATCCACCGGATCCGGCCCAATTACAAGAAGATATAACTCGTTACCAACTATGTCTTCAAATAAGAAATGATATTATCACAGGACGATTGCCATGTTCTTTTGTAACTCACGCTCTTCTAGGTTCATATTTAGTTCAATCAGAGGTCGGAGATTATGATCCAGAAGAACATGGCCGCACATATTTAAAGGATTTCAAATTTGCTCCTAATCAAACTCCAGAGTTAGTGGAGAAAGTAATGGATCTGCATAAAACACATAAGTTAGTTTCGTTTATTAGTTAATTAATTATATTATTACATTATTATATAATTAATTATGTAATATTGTAAATTATTGGGTAAAGAATAATAAAAAATTTTTGTATATTTATAGAGGTCAAACACCCGCAGAAGCGGAACTTCACTATCTCGAAAATGCAAAAAAATTAGCAATGTATGGAGTTGATCTTCATCCTGCTAAAGACTCTGAAGGTGTTGATATAATGTTAGGTGTATGTTCATCTGGACTTCTCGTCTATAGGGATCGATTGAGAATCAACAGGTTTGCTTGGCCAAAGATATTAAAAATCTCGTACAAAAGGCATAACTTTTATATAAAGATCAGACCAGGTGAATTTGAACAATTTGAATCGACAATTGGTTTTAAATTAGCAAATCATAGAGCTGCAAAAAAATTATGGAAAGTATGTGTAGAACACCATACTTTCTTCAGGTATAATAATTATTTAATAATTTTTTAATTTGCAAAATAAAATAATATAAATTGACATAAAATAATATATTATATATTTATTTATTTATTTAATTTTTTAGGCTCATGAGTCCTGAGCCTGTAAAAAAAGTAGGTTTATTACCACATTTGGGCTCTCGTTTCCGATATTCAGGTAGAACTCATTACGAAACGAAGAAGACTCCCATTGACAGACAACCTCCACAATTTGAAAGATCTTTAAGTGGTCGTCGTCCTACATCTCGTAGTATGGATGGTAAAAATATTTTTTGATATTTATTTTTTATTTTAGTTACTATATATACCAAGTGCTCTTTTGATACCGCTATTGCAAAGTTATCACATTGAGATTTTGAAAGGTATGTGTGCATTATACAGCATTAGGAGGTCCTAAACAAGTTGAATCTTATGGTTCAGAACCAAGTAAGAGGCATACAATGAGCTATGAACCTGAAATGATTCCTGATATGGAGCATATAGATCAACGGCCTAGTCCAATTAAAAAACAAAAAGAAAAGGTAAAAAAAAATATTCTTACATATACCGAAAATAGTAATAGTTAGTAGAAGATGCATGAAATCGTCATGCAAATTGAAAATTATTCCATAAAAATCATTTTAAAGGAAATATTTCTGCGGTCTACGCTTTCAAATAAAGCTTTTTTTTAAGATTTTGATAATATAACAATAAATTCAACTAATATAAATACTCTTATTGTTATCATAACTTCTTAAACACTACTGGAATGATAATTATATTATGAAAGGGAGAAATTGTAGAACACCAATTGGTTCACTTAAAACCAAAAAATAATATATTTTATAAAAAGTCCAAGTTAATCATTGTGCACTATTGTTTTAAATTAAACAGACAAATTTGTAGTCATGGCATGTTGATAAGTTTTCGTATGCCATGTATTAGATATAGTAGAATGCATTAGTCATTTTAATACATTTATTCCAAAATCATAAAAATGAATTAAATAATGCACATACAAGTTAATTAACATTAATTAAAAATCATATATAAAATTTGAAAATTTATTTGACAATTACAAATTAATAATCTTCTCTATTAATCTATATAATATTCAGTTAATTGACTTGTATATATTCATACAGACTTGAAATTTATTTTTTTGCAAGAAATTTAGATATTTATAGATTTTATAAAATTTTATCTTATAACTATTACCAAAAAATTGAACATGGCATTTGTATGTAATAATTTAATTTCACAAATTTGAATTCAATATTCACATCCTAGTGCTTCAACCATAAAAACTAACTGACACCTAACTAACACCGGTAGCTCACACGCAAAACAAGTGCTGGAACAACATCAGCTAGCAGTACCAGTAGCCTGGAAGGAGAATATGATGCAGATCGTGGCAAAAAGGTATAGAATTTCACCTGGAACTATCATGCATTAACCAACATATATCTATCTATATTAATGTATGTGACCATTTGGTGTTTTCCTTTTTTTCGATGCATGCTGCTATTTTTTATTTTTTTTTTTGCGAACATTATACGGCCATCGCCTCAAAGATGAATTCTCAAATTTTTTAAAATTTTATTATGCTATTTAATTGCATTAATGCTTATGTTCGCATGCACATAATAATATTATATGTTAAAAAAAGATTTAAAGAAATATACCATAGTTACAAGTAAATTTTGTAGATAAAAATAAAAAAAATATTTATTTAACAAAATAATAATTGATATTTTTTGAGAGCGCAGACCGTAATTAATTATCTAGCATGAAATATATGTCAAGAGAATGTAAAAAAATATAGTTAATAATAGCGTAGCAATAGAGTTGAATCGTGCTTTGCATGAAGCAATGTGTGATTATGAATTTACTTATAGAAACCGGTCGGAGGAATTGCGGTCCTACCGCCCGGTGGTCTATTTAAGAAGAAAAAGGATAAACAAAATGAAAACGAAAAAGAAAACCATAATGATCTAAATAATTCCGATTTAATAAATGAAAGTGCTATTCTTGATAATAATGATATAAAGTCTAGTAAAAAAGAGCTTAAAAAAAAAGAAAAGGAAATGACAGAAAAGAATATTATCCTTGAAAACAATGACAAGATAAAGTCACCTAGTAAAAAAGAATTAAAAAAAAAAGAAAAGGAAATGGCAGAAAAAATTGCTATTCTTGATAATAATGATATAAAATCGCCCAGTAAAAAAGAATTAAAAAAAAAAGAAAAAGAAATGGCAGAAAAAATAGCTATTCTTGACAATGAAATAAAGTCATTTAATAAAAAGGAATTGAAAAAGAAAGATAAAGAAACATCAGAAAAAAAAGATAAAGAAGTATCAGAAAAAAAAGAAAAAGAAGTATCAGAAAAAAAAGAAAAAGAAGTATTAGAAAAAAAAGAAAAAGAAATATCAGATAAAAAAGAAAAAGAAATATTAGATAAAAAAGAAAAAGAAATATCAGACAAAAAAGAAAAAGAAAAGTTAGAGAAAAAAGATAAGGAAACATCAGCCAAAAAAGACAAGGAAATGTCAGAAAAAAAAGATAAGGAAACATCAGAAAAAAAAGATAAAGAAAAAAAAGACAAAATAAAGGTAAGTACAGAAGAATTATATTTATGTGATCTCATCGAGGGATAAACTATTTGTATAACTGAATCATTCATGTAATAGGAGTTCATTGATTTGTCTTACTACCTATTTTTCATTCAAATAATCAGATTCAGATAAGTAGATTTTTTAATATTTGCTTGTTCGTTTGCTTATAATAATATTTTGAACTTTATGATGTTAGAAGTAAATTTGTAAGAAAAATTATATAGATGTTATTAATTCATAAATTTCTGGAATTTTATTGATTTGAAAAAATTGAGTTTTTATATTACTTACGTTTTGTTCATCATAACTAATATTTCTTCAAATTTTACATAAATTACTTTTCATATTTATATTACTATTCATTTTATATTTTATTTATTTTATTGATATATATATCAAATAACAGAAATGAAATCATTATTAAAACAAATCATAAATAATTTTTTCTCATTTTGTATTTATTTTTTATCATCTTTTTTGCAAAGATTTTAGAATACTGCTTTTTGTAATTAATATGTTTTTTTATTGCTATCATTAGCAATTTATTACTACATTTTATTTCATATTTTATTATGTTAGCTTCCTTTGTTAATTTTAATTATTGTTTTTTTAATATTATATTTTTTATTTAGAAGCACGATTATTTATATTTTAGCTCATAGAATATAAATTTCATATAACTGAAGTAATTTTTAATAAATTTAAAATATTCAATTAACATTTTAACTGATATGTAAATCATCGGTAATGTTATCTAAATTAATTTAAATTAAATAACAATTATACATTTTATGTCAAAATAAACAATACATAATATTTTACTAATATATAAACGAATATATTATATATATATTAATACAAAGTTATGTATCAATAGGACTATATTAATATACAAACGATTCAGTTATATGAATTCTTTATTTCTGGATGAAATTATATAAATAAAATTTTATTGTAATTTCTATTTGCATTGTATAATTTTGGATAAGTAGTTTGAGTATATAACTTATTATATTATACTATTTTTTTAGTTTTTTCTTTCCATTTTTTCCATAATTTTATTTTCTTTTTTAGTATAATTATATAAATATATCATCCTTAAAATCCAATTCCATTTGCTAAAATTTCCTGATTTTGATTTTTCATTGTAATTATTCTATTATTAATATAAGTTGCATATATAAAAAATTTAAATTTTTAATTAAATTTTTCATTAATTTTTTATTTTATATTTTATTATATTATTTTACAATATCTTTTGTGATTATTTTGATTTAATAATTTATCATTAAATAATACCTTCTATTATTTTTGAATCATCTGAAAGTGATAAATTCAGTATATATATAATGAATATTTAAATCAAGCTTGATTATTAATTAGAATCTTCTTATTATTATCCTATATATATAAGTATTATTGATATATTTTCCTCAATGATATGATGTCTTAATTTTTATAGTTTATTTAAATTAATAGATCTCATAAATTGGGATGAAATAACTAATTGAGATGAGAAATTTTTAATTCTGAAGAAAATTTAATTTCTAGTTTTACTTTTTTATGATCATTTTATTATCTTCATTAAGTATATAATTGAAAATACATGCGATTTTTCGATTTATAGCAGTTAGTGATTATCGATTTCGAACTTTAGATAATATGTCTTCTTTATACGAGAGTCCGTATGGCTCGAATAGACTTTTAATTAAAGAAATCATAAAAATGCATATAATTAAGCAATTCTTTTAGAATGTTTTTCATTTTTTTCATACATTAATCAAGATTGTCCTATTTGCTTTCCTAACATAGATAAATTTGATTCTGTGACATTGTTGTTCACTGATTCTTCTAGTTCTATATTATACTATACTATTTTAAAGGATATACGAGATGTATTAAAACCAATCTCTTCAAAAACGAAGAAAGTTTTATCTTCAAATACTACCCCAACAATAGTAAAAACAACAACCAAACAATCAGTAGTAAAGGATCAAGAAGGTGTGATACAAAATATAGAAGAAAAAGTGGAAGATCTTACTCCTGGAGGAACAGGCCAAGTAACTGTTTCTACACAAATTAATAAGGTGATATAACATTCACAATTATCTGAGATACATTAAAATAAATATATAATAATATAATTGTTTCACTAATTTTAAAAAGTATAAGAAAAAAATATTAAACATTCTAACCATTTTTGCATTTCATTTAAAAACTTAAAATTCAAAGTATTCATTAATCTTTTTATATTTTTTCTCTTTTTTTTTTTTAATTCAATTCCTTTTTATTTAATTTTATTTTATATTTTTTTAAGTAATATACACTATCCATATCCTTTTGAAAAATTTTTTATTAATTCCAACTTATTACATTATTCAAATTGATATTGATATATTGAAATATAGTTTATTAAGTAGTTTTATGATATGTATTGTAGATTGTAGATTATATAATTTTTAGCTATTGAGTATTGCATGTAGCAAATGTGTTATTAATGTAAGTAGCAATGATTTCTATATAAACAAATTTTTGATCATTTTGAAATTACATATTTAAAAAAATAACATATCAAATTCTTGCATTTATTGTAATTTTGTATATATATATTGCTGCTTTATTATAAGATCTTAGTTACCTTGTAGTTGTATTTAGGCAGAGACATCAGATGATGGTAGAGCTCCATACATGACAGCAACTGCTGTTACTACACGTACTGCTACAATGCACGAGGATCTTGAAAAAAATCAAAAAACCAGTCAGGTTTGTAATATTATTACAAATTTTTCTTTTTCACAAAATTTCACATTAAATATTTTCTTAATTATAATTTTACTTTATTTATTCATACAATATTTTGAATTTTCTTATATATATTCTCTACATTATATTTTCCTATAAAGTTAGAATTATTTTTTTATATTTTTTTTATATTAGGTAGAGGAAAAAACTGTAGCACATACAACAGCAACCAGTGCAACAAGACAAGAACAAAGAGTAGTAACTCAAGAAGTTCGAACAACAAGTCATGTACTTTCTGGTGAACAGGTAATAATTTAGTTTAAATATATGCCAAGCCACTAATGGATGAAGCATGTAGCATTTATGTAAATCACATATTGTGTTTTTGATCTTAACATTAAATCATTAGAATATTTCATGCTAGTACAATCATTGCACATATATAAATAATTTTCTTTAATATTGATGGAAATTCATGTAACATTATGAAGCTTTTGGTTTTATAGCATCTTAATTCTGACATTTTTTGTACAATATACATATAGATATGGAATAAAAATAAGATCATATGCACATTCAGTATGCATATCACAATATCATTTATTTAAATGAAGGAATCACAATTTACATGTACATGAATAAAACTTAATTCATTCAGGATATTGGTTGATTAATAAAATTTAATTAGTGCTATTTTTCATTTAAATTATTTTTTTTTTTTTATTTTTGTAATTAATTTTCTCGGCTTGGTTAACACAATGCATGGTGTAGCTGTTCTCACGAAGGCTCAGTACATCCAGTTCAAGCAGTGATGATTCAGGTACTCCAATTGACCTTGAAGATGATCAGCAGGCTTTCTACAATCAATATTATCAGGTAATTTTTAGGGTTGTTATAATCAATTAAAAGTTATATTCTCTTAGAAACAAGATTTTAAGAATTTAAAGAATTTAGTTCTGAGGATAAATCTTCATCAAGGTATATGTTTAAATATGTTTACAAAAAAGATTTCTAAAATAGTAAAATTTTAAAATAATCTAAAAATTCTTGTAATAATGATTTATAATGTTAATATTGTTATTTATATTAGAATACATAAGATGCATCAAATATTTTTAATTGATATTTTCTTTAATACTCATTTCTTAATATTCAAAAGGACATAAAAAATAACATTCAATCATTGTAGAAAACTTCATTTACTTAATTTACTTATTATTAATTATATACAAAGACCCTGGTTTTGAGGTATTAATTATTAATTTGTAAGAATAACATAATGTTTATAATACTTTAACAAGGAATTAATGCTTTGGTTCTTTGTATTATTTAACATATTTATACTTATATATATAAAATAATATATATATATAAAATTATAAATAATAATAATATACAATTATAATTGTATAGTATCAATTCAACATATTATATATAACTGAATGTTTTATAAAAATTTTTTCTGAAAAATAAAATATTATTATATAAATTTAAATTCAGGGTGATCCAGCTGGTGTTATTGAAACTGAAACACATATTTACAAAGGAGAACCAGAGAGTAATGTAACAACAACTACTACCGTTCCACTAGTAGCAACTGAAACTAGAAAAGTAGCCGTTGAAAGTGAAGATGGTATGTACAGTGCAACTGGAGAAATAGTTAGTTCTCAGACAATATCTAGTAAAACTCGTACTGTTGAAACGATAACGGTAAGATTTCAAATTTTAATATAATTATTAATTTTTAATATACTATAATATGATTATAATATGATTATTGCTATAATATAATTAAATGCATATATTATAATATTTTTAGTATAAAACTGAAAGAGATGGAGTTGTAGAAACTCGTGTAGAACAAAAAATTACAATACAATCAGATGGTGATCCAATTGATCATGATAGAGCTTTAGCAGAAGCAATTCAAGAGGCAACAGCAATGAATCCTGATATGACAGTAGAAAAAATAGAAATTCAACAGCAAACAGCGCAGTAAAGTAACTGATCAAAAATTACTTTTGTAAGAAATAAAGGGCACTCTTTGTCTAAAAGACTTATAATTCTAAAAAAGAATAAAATAAAAAATTAAATTGATATGCATTTAAATAATGTATAATAAATGATTTAACTTAGTTTTACTATCATCAAAATTCACTTAAATAATTTGCCAAAATAAGGCAATAAAAAAATAACATTTGCATTTAATAACTAAAATGTATTTCTTATAATAAATGTTGCCCAATATTATGAGCTTGAACTTGATTAAAAATCAAGTTATTACAAAAAAGAATGTCATGGTACGTAAACTGCAGTGTTCATATTCAAAGTATGTATTGTCTATATACACAGAGGCATAAATATATATTATACATATTATGTATACATAGTTATATATGTACCTAAATGAAAAATAATTTGTTTATAACTATAAACATATGACAGAGTGCCCTATAAACTTACATTATAATAAAATCATGATATTCATGCAATGTCTTGTCTATAATAAGCGTATTAATTAAATTATTCATATAAAGTTTATTTAAATAATCCAAGACTTGTTCAACAATATTAAAAAATATTTATGAGCTTAATTTTTTATAATCTTTTGCAGATTTTTTTGTTATAATTTAAATTTCTGTTTTTAAAACTTTGTCTCTGAGCCTAATATAATAAATAATAAAAAAATTGAAAATGTCTTAAAAAACATTTTAACAAGTCAAACATATGTAACTATATTATCAATATACATTTTAATAATATAAACAATATAATATACATATATAATGTAATTTTTATGAATTTAATGATATAAATGAATTTAATAATATAAATGAGTCATTAAAAAATCAATATATAAAAAGTAACAATGGAAGACTTATAATACTTGTAAGAAATACACAAAATTTTTTTTAAAGTTTCAGACAATTTAAATGTATTTTTTCTGTAATGATTTTTTGTATAGGTCAATTATTTGTGACAATTTCTTTTTCAAAATAGATGTTTATTGTGACAAAGTCAGAGTTCTCTAAGTATAAAATATTAAATATTAATATATACATTAAAATATATACATATAAATGTATGTATGTATGTATACATAAACATTTATGATTAATTGACAGAAAATAGAGATCTACAAAGTTTCCTAACTAGAGTATTACTAATTATTCAATAATGTAAATTGAAAGAAAATATACATTATTAACATTACTATATACATCTTTTATTTAATTTAAAAATATGTATTTGGAAACTATGTAGATTTTCTTGATCTATATATTTCAAAGATGATATGATTTATTAGTAACATTAAGATAAAAAAATTATATATATGTAACTTCATACCAAGAGCTATGATGCATTGGTCAGCGTATATGTCTAAATTTAGCTATAACTTTGTAGTTTTAAAACTACAAGTTCATATAAAATTTTATTTGTTTAATAGTTTATTTAATTTTTGTATTAACAACACAGAAATATTGCTAAAAAGGAAAGGCTGATAATCTGAATTTACATTCTTAATAAAATTATTAAGAGGCAATTTGCGAAAATAAAGTTATATAAATATATAAAGTTATAAATATTATAATATATACCACTGCTTCATGTATTTATGTATTAATATAACATATATGTATGCGTATATGTTAGTGTGTGTGTGTGTATATATATATATATATACACACACACACATATAAACACACACATATATATTGTACATGTGGTAATTAAGAAGCAACATTAAAATATGCATATCACACTGTAGAAGACTTGTATATGCTTTTGTTCTTTCATATATTATTTAAAAGCTATTAATACATTACTATTACACTTGCATTTTACACAAAGCATTTATTTTATGATATTAAATCATACATTTGCATATTGATTGTAAATGAAATGTCTTTTTTGTACTTTTTACATAATATATAATAAATTGAAATATTGGTATATAATATATAATTTTATAATTAATTTTAATTTTACATTTACTATATAATTTTTCTTAAAGATTAAATGTTTTCTGCAGTATTTATCAATATTATTATAATTATATAATTTAATATTTAAAAAAAGAAATTATAAAAATTTCTAGAGCAAAGGGATATCATAGATCATCTATGTGTGAAGTGCATTTCCTCTTGTATATTACAACTCGTTTTATGCTGGCAACTAATGAATTATTTGAATGTTACAAAATACATCGATTAATCTCACTTTATTTCATAGTATTAATTTATATTTCAGATATGCTCAACCATTGTATTTTCTTGTAAGTTCTTATTTTTTCTTTTATTTATAAGCACTTTTACAAATTTCATAAATTAATTTTTTATGTTTCGATATTAAAAAAAAAACAGTAAAATTATATTAAAGAACATATTGATTTTCTTGTACCTTATAATTCCATTATTTATATATTTGTTTTTATTGTATCTAACATTCCATGCTTATGTGACTAACAAATATGTATCATAAATGCTTGTGTCATTTAAAATTTATTTATTCGTTTATTCGTACAATTTTATATTTATCAAAATTTTATATTAACTCTGCTTGAAGAATTGCTTATTGAAGATATAATATAGAGGATAAAAATTCTTTATTATATTCAACTTAAGCTTTAAAAATAAAATATAAATCTTCAAGCAGTGTACAAATGTAGTTAATAGTATTTTGTACTTTAATAAATTTTCTATGGTTCATTTAGTCATAATATGATAATTACAATATTATACTTAATATTATAGTTCTATAATATATAATTATGTAATAGTATTTTATGTATAAGAAAATCGTAACTCTTTAACTGTGCACGTTTTGTTATATTTAATGTGAATTATTGTTTTACACGCATGAATTTTAATGTACTTTATTTCAATTATGAAAATTTTATGTTAATGCACATATAAATGTCGCCTCAGTGCTAGAAAGTTGTACAAAATAATTGTAATTAGTTTGCCGCTTTTTTTACATAATTTGCCATATATTTTTTCAGTGCAATTTAATCATTGATTTTATTTTTATCTCATACACGACTTTCCAGCATGCAGGCAATAATTAATGATTTATATAAAAATTATTTAATATTTAATTATAAAAAAATTAAATAAAAAGAAATATACAATGAATTAGAAATAATTTTCTAAAAAAGAATATTAATAAACAAGAAGAATACCTCTAATCCAAAAAATTTGTTTTTTTTTTTGCATATTCCATACTCTGTATAATAAAATATTAATAAATTATTTAAATAGGTGGTAATTTAATAATTTCAGTGTTTAATATTGGTTGTACATGATTAGATTTTTTGGTTTTTTTAATTTTAATCGTATTCCAAAATGGTTTTGGAGTAATACGACCATTTTTTATAATATTTGCACCTAAATTAAAAAAATAGATTATAATATTTTTATTTATAATGAGAATAATTGAAATATTTTTCCATTTAAATTACCAATTTTCCATGATGGATATATATATGATTGTGTTTTATTAATTACAGATGTAATTGTAGACAATTTTGAATCAGGATGTTGAAATATTGCTCTGGATATTGATGCTTTCAATGCAGGTGGTAAATTTAATGAACCTATAATATGTAAAAATTGATATAAAATTATATTTACTATAAATTAATTATCAATAATCATACTTGTAATGTCTTCATCTGCAGTATTTAATAATTTTTTAGTATGATAAAAATGTTTTTTCATCTTAAATCTTTTCATAAAACATCTACATACATCTGTCACCGTTTTTCCATCAAGAGTTTCTATAAGTTAGTATTGTTTAAAATATAAAATATATATATCAAAAAGAAGAAATATAAATAAATAAACTTACTTATTGTATCATTATTTGCAATAAGATTTTCCTTGTATCTATAATATTTTGTTACAGGATTACCTTGTAGAGATAGATCTTTTAAAGAAATCAAGATATTTATAGTCTCCGTTAGATCATTAATATCATCAATAATATTATTTGTAGCATCTAGAATTTCTAATTTATATAATTCTTTAATATTTTTTAGAGATGTTATTTTATTATCAGAAATATTAAGTACTTTTAAACAAGTCTGAAAAAGTTCATATATATATACACATATATATATATATGTGTGTGTATAAATATATATAATAAAAAAACTTACGGATAAAGCGAGTATACTTCGTGGATCAAAATATAATGATTCTCCAAAAGGTAATTTTTGATTTTCTATTTGCAAAACAGTTAAATTTTTCAAATTTTCAAGACCTTCTACTACTAATATTTTATTATATCCTAAATAAAGTGTTTGCAATTTTTCAAGATAATTTAAATTTTCTATTTTACTTATTATATTATGTTGTAGGTATAAATGCGTTAAGTTAGGTGCATAGTGTAAATTTTCTATCTTCGAAATATTATTGTTTTGTAAATATATTACTTTAAGATTTTTATAATTACCGAAATTACCCTAAAATAATATATAAAATAATACAATATATCATATATAAAAGTTACATTTCATTATTATTATTTCAATAAAAATAACTTACAATATTGCTGATAAACATATTATTCATACGTAAATGAGTTAAATATAATTGATCTTTTTTTTTTTTTTTACCGAGAGATTTATTTAATTGCTCTTGTGAGCATTTTTTCTCAATATATTGTGCAGTTAATCTTACCATAATTATATGATTTTCTTAAATTATGTAAATATAACAAATTGATAAGTATATTCATAATTGATCAAACATTTACTATTAGAATGACGCGCCTTTTACATACGACATCTATATTCTTCATTAATAACTATGTTTATTATATTTTATTTTAGCGACATCTAAGATTATATTCAAAATAAGTTCTAAAAAGTAGAAATAAAATTACAATTTTTCTGATTGTGTTATGAATTTAAAAATAATGCAATGATGGATGTGGATTTATTACGACCAGGCACTGTGCCGATATCTCCTGATACAATACTTTGGTTTGAATTTTTATTAAATCCGTCTTTATTGCAACAACATTTATCAAAACCTTCTCCTGGTTAGTAATAATTTAACCTTAATTGTTATATATGATACAAATAATATAAATTTATTAATAGATATATTCTATTACTTATAGTTATTTAAAATTATTTTTAGATCCCTCAGCAACGGACTTAATAATTAAATTTATGACAATAAATTCAGAACAAAAGGAAAATGAAGTAAAAATTGTTGATACTGAATCAAATGATGCAAAATCTAGTACTGCAATTAAATGGACTCATAGAAATCTTGCTTTAAAAATTCTTTCTTTGAAAATAGCAGCTCATTTAAAATGGGATTTGGATGTATTAGAAAAAAAATTACCATTACCAATACAATTAACATTACTTCAAGATCTTCTTTATATAACATCGGATTTAATTGTGGAAATACCAACTATACCTGAATTTACAATACATCCAATTTCAGATCAAGTATTATTTACAATTGTTTTATATCATAGATGGCATATAAGAGCAATTATTTATAGAGCCTTAAATAATAAACAATCAAAACAACAATTTCTTCATATGTAAGATAAATATTAATAAATATTCATATATTTAATAATAATATTTTTTATATAATTTTTTTGTTTTTTAATTTATTGTATATGTTAGTCCAGGTATTCAAGAATCAACATATGTACCACCTGGTGTAATAGATGATATAATTAGGAAATTAGAAGCTCAAGTATCTAATAGTATAAATGTATTAAATAATGTTCTTGAAAGTAAAGATATAAGTCCAAAAATGTTATCATTTGACACTTTCCAAATGTTATCTGAAGATAGTATAGAGATTAAACAAAATTGGGAAAATATGTATTCCATTAATTTAGAAGAATTTAAATGTCAAGTAAGATATTTTTATTATTATTTTATAATTTTTTATATTACTAATTTCAATATTTTTAGATACATTATGATTTAGCAAGATTTCATTTGTTAAAAGAAGAATACCAAGAAGCAAAACGTCATATTATACAAGCCAAAGAATTGTTTTATAATTTCAATAATTCAGGAGATATGTTGTATTGTAAAATTCGAAAAGAATCTTTAGATGGTTGTTGTTTAGCATGCGAAGTATCCATAGAAGGAATAACTTCCAGTCTTACTCAGCAATTGCAAGCATCAATTAAAGATCAATATACTGTATATATTTAAATATTATTTTATAGAAATTGAATTTTATGCAAAGAGTTAATAATAATCATTTGTTTTAGAATATATTACAAATTCTTCAAGCAGATAACATTTCAAGAGAAATTCCTCAGGTTTATAGAGATAATTTAGAACTTGATGTGCAAGGAGGATCTGTTAATAGAAAAATTGTAGTAGCTCGTGATCTTTTGCTTCAAATTCAATGTTTAAATTTAATTAGAAAAATTTTGGATGGTAGCATAATTCTTGGTGATTATATAACGGAAATACAAGCAGCTGGTAATAAAGGAATTGAAGTATTTTTTTGGGTAAGATAACTTTTCTATCAGTTTAACAAATTATTTATATCTATCATTTTAATTTCCATATAAAATTTTTTTTATATAATAAAATGTTTTAGGCTCTTGAAAATGTTTTAGAACAACTTACTATTAAAGACAAAACACGTATTTCACGTTATCTCCTTTATCTCGTACATACAAGTAACATTGATGGATTTGCTTCCAAAATACTTAGTGATCCATTATATATGACATTATTTAATGATAAAGAATTAGATATCATCAGAAAATCGGCTATTATTGAAGAATTAGAGTTACCGGATTTATTATTAAAAAATGATTGGGGTATACCTTTAATAACATATACTCGTCAGTATAAACATATAAATATTGATTTTATAGTTTAAAATATTGATCATAATCTAATTATAAAAAATTTAAATTGCAGAAAGCTCCAAAATAGAAGTATTTGGATTAGAACAAAGATTAATACAATCATATGATACTAATGAAATTCATGAAATATTATTACATTTAGATGGAAAACATCGTATGAAACCTTTATGGTTAGTGAATAGTTGTTGGGAATTACCTATTCCATTACAAAGTGTTGTAATGTCCCTTTCTAGAGGTTTTCTTCAAGATTATTCATATGTATTATTAGCAAAAAGTAGAGAATTAGTAATGTCTAAAGATTTTGAAGGAGCAATTGAAATATTAAATGTATTAGAAAAAGAAGTACAGCAACATTCACAAAGTGGCAATACATTAATATTTAAATTATGTAAATTAGTAAACTGGGAATGTTTACTTATTGAAATTTTAAGATGCCTTCACAATTGGCCAACAACAAATATATGTAAGTATATGCATTTAATTTCATGATTATTTTATTATTATTATTAAGATAATTACAAAAAAATTTATAGGTGATACAGAAAACTTAATTACAAGATGTAAACAATGTCTTGGAGCATTACAAGCTACAGATCAAGTTATTCCACGACAAGAAATTATTGAATATTGCACTGTTTTTCTTTTAAATATGACTGAATGGGATTATTTAACAAGTTTAGAAAAACGTTTTAGTTATTCAGAATTTGCAGCAGCTATTAGTAGTGTTTGTCAAGATATTGTTAAGTACAAAGCAGGAAGAAAATTTTCAAGAGAAGCATGGGATATGGGTTAGTCTCAAAAAGCCATATATAAATTTCTGTATTAGAATATAATGTAAAATTATATTTTTAGTTTTAACTGCTTTTGGCCCAAGTAGAGATCAACCACAAAAACGAAGTAATAGTGGTAATAGTGGAACAAGTACTGGTAGTGCTTCAAGAGATGTTATTGCTAGCATTGGAGGTACACTTAGTAGATTACGTGAACCTATGGTTCTTACTGTTGTTATTTCATTATTAGCACGTTTACGGAATGTTTTACGCGATGAATCTAGTCTTGAATTACATGCGCAGTATCTTTCTCTTTGGCCTGCTGTTGTACCAAAGTAAGTTTTCATATAACAAATTTTATATTATTTTAAAATAATATATAAACATAATTTTATAGTGCTAATTCTTATAATATCAGAAGCATTGGAGAATTATTGTTTCAATTATTAACACAAGCTTTAAAATATTATCCAACTAATGTTCCTTGGTTAAGATTAATGGGAGATCTTAATTTTGGTCTGTATTAAAAAAATATATATTAAAATATTTCGAATCTAAAATAAATAACATAATATTTTTAGTTCTAGGATATTATGAAAGTGCAATAAAATATTATTTAGAAGCTATTATGGTATCTAGTGATCTGTTTAGTCAACCAGTACCAAGATCACAGATTGATGATCTTGTTTATAGACGTATGATTAAATGTTGTGCTCATTTACAATGTTATACACAAGCTGCTGTATTATGTCAATTTTTAGAAGAAGTAGATTATACTTTAGCTTTTAAAATGGCAGCTAGTGATCAAAAAAGTTGTGCTCCAGCAGATGCTATGGATGCATATTATCATTGTATTTGGGATACTACAATACTTGAATATCTCATTCATTTACACACAAAACGTGGTGAACATCATAGAAAACAATTAGCAGTTAGTAATTATATACATAATTTATTTAAAGATTTACATATATTTCATTATATTTATTATATTTAATTATTTTTTAAGATTAAAGTAATTGGTTCATTGGAATTGAATTCTAATAATAATGAAGAAATACAAAGGGAAGCAGCAAACATTCGGAAAGCGAAATTTTTAAGAGCATTAGCAAAACAATATGTTTATTAATAAAAGTATGCAAAAAATATTGTATTATTATATATATTAATTTTATAATATTTAAATATAAGGATTTTTATATTTATAATTACAATCGATAATTAAAACAATCAAATCTCCCTCCTTTACTATGTACAACTTGTACCAATCACAGCTTTTTATTTTTTACTCTAATCGATTTAATAAAACATAAAATTAATAAAATAATTTTATTAAATATTATATTTTGTTAATATTATAAAAAAATATTTTTTTAAAAAAATAAACAGTTATTTGTTCATTATAATAAAGTTTTTTATTCTCTAATGCATCATTTTGATGTGAGTCATCTACGATCAGCCCTTATCGTTGAATACATTCTCGTTACGTAGTGCAATGGGTGCGTATTATTACTGTACGTAAACCTATATATAAATTATATTAGATATAATGTTTATATATATTGCAAACAAAGTGTGCAAAAGAAGTTAATTTTCAACGAAAAATTATAAAAATAGAGTAATTTAATAAATTGTAGATAACGTACATAACTTAAAAACAGTTTTCATGGGACTGTCTTCATAAACAAGGCGCCATGATTTTCTTGTAACGCCATAATACTGTTATACGACATTTCCTTCTTTCTATGATAAATATTTATAATTAAAATTATATGTGAGATATGAACGGAATCAATTTTGTTTCATATATTTCTATATATCATAATAATTTTTAGCTGTTTAATTTTGGTGAGTACATAAAGAAGATCATGAGTACTTATTAAAATTCTGAAAGTTTTCGGTACTATTGCTTATTGTAAATACCCTGATTCTACCACGAAAAGGAGTGAAAAAGATAGAGATTGAAAGACAGAAAAGTTGTAGTGAAAGAGAAGAGAAAAAAAAAATATTATGTATATTGTGAGTGATTTTTATATTACAAAAAAATTTGCTTAAATATTTATCGAATTCATAAAATTATTGTCATTAAGAAACGATAAAGTCAAGGTGGAAATCGATAAATTCATAGATATTTTTATTTGATTGTCATGGCGAGAGATTGGCGTCAAGAATGTGGTAACAAGAGTGGGAGACTGTAGTAAAAACAATGCTGGATCGCTAAGCAAGTTCTACGTAAGTAGTTCTGTGTAATTTATTATTAATTATTTTTTATTTTTAATTATACTAATTTTTCATATTTATAATATTTAATATGTTATTGTATAATATTTTACATTTTGTATATTTCAAATATTAGATTCTAACCTCATATTTAACAATATTTATTTTTTTTATTTTATTAGCATTAATATCCTCATAATATAAATTAAATATTTATTAAATATTTTATAATATTTTATTGATATACAATATTTTAATTATAAAAATAAAATATATTTGAAAAAAATTTTTATAAAATAAATTAAAATTAAAAAATTTTTAATACACAGAAATTGATAGAATTATATTAAATTACAGGTTACTAAAAAACAGAAATTAAAAAAAATTTATAGATATAGTTTACATATTACAGTATTTTTAACATGGATGATGAAGAAGGATCATCAAGTTCTGGACCTATGTCTTCATTGAATAGTTTATTTTCATTTACTAGTCCTGCTGTAAAAAAGTTGCTTGGTTGGAAACAGGGTGATGAAGAAGAAAAGTGGGCAGAAAAAGCAGTTGATTCATTAGTAAAAAAATTAAAAAAACGAAAAGGTGCAATTGAAGAATTAGAACGGGCATTAAGTTGTCCAGGCACTCCTAGTAAATGTGTAACAATTCCAAGAAGTTTGGATGGTAGATTGCAAGTTTCTCATCGTAAGGGTTTACCACATGTAATTTATTGTAGAGTGTGGAGATGGCCAGATTTGCAATCACATCATGAATTAAAACCATTAGAATTATGTCAATATCCCTTTTCTGCTAAACAAAAAGAAGTTTGCATCAATCCTTATCATTATAAAAGAGTGGAAAGTCCAGTGCTACCACCTGTATTAGTTCCTAGGCATTCAGAATATGCACCTGGACATTCATTGTTACCATTTCAACAAATAGCAGAACCAACAATGCCGCACAATGTATCCTATTCTTCTAGTGGATTTAATGCTGGATCTACTGGTGGTGTAAATCCAACATCACCTATGTCATCTGTTGGATCTGTTCCAAGTCCAGGAAGTACAACATCACCAAATCCACAAAGTCCATATGGTACTAATGGATTACCAGAAACTCCTCCTCCAGCATATTCTCCTCCTGAAGATGGTTCACAATCTGGTCAGTCACCACCACCTGATCCTGTAGCTATGGATACAAGTGGATCAGCTGAAGTAGCTCCAGTATGTTACCAAGAACCACCTTATTGGGCCTCTATTGCATATTATGAATTAAATTGTAGAGTGGGTGAAGTTTTTCATTGCCATTCCCACTCTGTTATTGTGGATGGCTTTACAAATCCAAGTAATAATTCTGATAGGTTTTGTCTTGGACAATTGTCCAATGTAAATCGTAATTCTACTATTGAAAATACAAGAAGACATATAGGCAAAGGAGTACATTTATATTATGTAGGTGGTGAAGTTTATGCAGAATGTCTTTCTGATTCTGCTATATTTGTACAATCTAGAAATTGTAATCATCACCATGGATTTCATCCTAGTACAGTTTGTAAGATTCCACCAGGATGTTCATTGAAAATATTTAATAATCAAGAGTTTGCCCAATTACTTTCACAAAGTGTTAATCATGGTTTTGAAGCAGTTTATGAATTAACAAAAATGTGCACTATAAGGTAAAATTTAATATTAAAAAATTAATCATTATCATTATGAATAATAATACAACATAAATTATTACTTATATATTCTGTTGTAGAATGTCATTTGTTAAAGGATGGGGTGCTGAATATCATAGACAAGATGTTACATCCACTCCTTGTTGGATTGAAGCACACTTACATGGACCCTTACAGTGGCTAGATAAAGTGTTAACACAAATGGGTTCTCCTCATAATGCTATAAGTTCTGTATCATAATTTGTGTTTTATGTTTAATAAGGAGAGAAAATAGTGAAATGTAGGAAAAACTTAATGATTTAAGAACACTTTTTAATATTATATAAGGCTATAATAAATTAGATATCATAAGAAATTTATGAAAATATAATAAGAATGATAAATGAGAAATTACTGTCTTAGTATGACTCTTTTCATGTGAGAAAAATGAAGTTAATAATATGATTATAAAAATAAAGGATTGCAAACGTTCACAATTATTAAAAGTAATCCTTAATAATGAAATTTCGAAAAAAGTGAAGTGTACACATACAAGCTGTACAATTTTTTGGCTGTTAAATAGGAAAAGAATTATAACAAAAATATGTTATATATAAAGAATCATATTTTTAAAATATATTTAATCACATCTAATACTTTATTTTATATGAAAAATTGTTATAAAAAATATTTTTTAATGCTGTCACGAATGCTTCATTAAATTATTTCGAAACTTATATTAAAAGCTATACATAGTTGAAGAATAGAAAAAAATTGATTTCAATTAAACAAAAGATCAAAAGATATCAATATATGAAAATGATTCAAAATTATATAATGTTTTAAATTTATAGTTTCGAATACGCGTGCTTTTGAAGCATTTGATTTATAAGCCTAAAAAAGCCTTAAACTATTTAAATTTATTACTATAAAGACTATAATCTAAGTGTAATTAATTTCAATTTACTAATAGTAATGCAATTAATATTTCAATATATACATCAGATGCTGATCTCACGTTGACATTTAAAAGTTAACTGTATCTGATGACATATTGAAATATTAACTTTGATACATATAAAAATATTTTTTTGTGCAACGTTTTCTAACATTCGTGAAATGTAAGCCTTTGGATGTAGCCTTATAAGAAACTAATATGACAACTAACATAAAGTCATCTACTTGCTATTTGTCAGACTTGAGAGTAATGTAAGACTTGTATGTTAGCTATGCACTTTTTAAAAATGTTCATAAATTTCATGCTTCAACAGAAATTTATGTGCATATAAAAAGTATACTATTATATTATGATGTTATGTGCAATTTAAATAATTGGTATTACATTCGGTACAAGACATAAAAATTTTATTAATTGAATTTTAAAATCACAAATTATTTTTGTTGATCATAAAAAAAACGTAAAAAATTTTATCAATAGAAAAAGAGTCACATACAAAATGTTCATTTATGAAAGATATTACTTGTTTTATATATTTTAATGAATGACGATTTTATAAAAATTCTATTATAATAATTGAGAGTAAGATGAATAATGCATATATTCATAAATTAAAAAAATCATATGAACACTTAGTTGAAACAAAGTAAAATTTATTAAGAAATGTTATACATTGAAAGTTCATTATAATCAGCTCTTTTTTTAATCAGTTTTTTTATTCATTTATAACAATATTAATTTCAATTGATTTTACATTAAGGTACAGGTATTACTAAAAAATTACAAATATTGACTCAATATTAGAAATGCCTGATATATATTTGAATGAACTTCTGACTTATTGATAATTATATTTCAAATTATTTTTATGTATATTTTACGTATATTTTTTTCAATTATAAGTATGATGAAAGTATACGGATCATATAACTTTAAGAATACTTGAGAACTGTGGAACAGAAGTCACTGCCGCTTGGTGTTACTTATTTGTCGATGTACCTAGCTGTGATTGTTTGCTACCAAATTTAGCAAATTATGTATAGGTGATCAACGATGGTTAAAAAGTATTTACTTTATTAGATCAATGAAAATAAAAATATATTCGAATTTAGAAGTATAAATCATATAAGAAAATATGACAATAATATGACGCATAAAGAAATACGATTTTTTACACGACGAATAAAAATATTCAATCAAAAAAATATTTATCGTACCACTTATCGTTTTTTCGTGATCACCTGTAATACCTATTTAGTTTAAACAATAGAAGAAAAAAAGTATTTTCCTTCAAAACAATGTTGTAATTGGTATAGAGAAAATCATAAAAATAATATATCTATTGAAGAAAAGTATAAACTAATGTTTTAGGTATATCGAGCTTGTAGCATTCGTAATGAACACAATGCTTTATCGCAATATATATATACGAATATGTACGAATAGTTACATGTAATAAGTATATTTAGAGCTTCTATTCTTAATTGATATTTTTCTTTTCTCTTTTTTTTTTTTTTTTTTTTTTTTTAATTGATGTATTTGTCACAAATCTCGTTTCCAAATCACCTGATATTACTTCTTAATTGCTAAGTTTTACAGAACTGAATAGAAGCTTAATAAGTATTACAACAATGCACTATAATACTAGAACTATATACATATATACTTAAGTACATGCCGCCCAAGTTGTGCCTTGGATGCTTTTACATTATATATTTCAAATATTCTAAAAATATAAAACAAAAATTTGTTATAGTATATAGTGAAACAAGTATATATATTGTTTGTCAAATAGTGCTTAAACATTCATATGCAAAATCATCTATACTAATAAATTCTGAATATAAAAATATATTTAAAGATGTGATAGTTTTAGAAAATGAATATATATACACAAATGTACATAAATAAATTTGTGATTTGGTGATTTGGAAGAGATTCATAGTTATTTTAGATGTCAGACACTGTAAATAAATTTTTTAGCTATAAAAACACATCTGCAAAATCCATTCCACATTTATCATATAAATCCGATAATTACGAACTTTCTCTTCATATTATTTTTGCGTTTTTTAAAATATTAATATCATTGTACATTATTTCAAAAATTATTTATCATGATCGAAAGTACTTTCCTTACTTATTAAAATATTATTATCATATGTATAAAAATTTTTATACTTTCGATGATGTAATAACAGATTTAATATAACTTTAACATAATCAATATTATGATATCATGAAATTCTGATATAAAGATTATGAAAATTTTTTTTAAAGAAAGACTTTATATATATATGTTATAATATTTTCAAAAAATATACTTCTTTTCTTCTGTTTATTAATTGAAATAATAAAATCAATGTCCAATGATATAAAAATTTTCATTTGTGCTGTACTGTATCTGCATTTTTGATAATTACTTTGTTGTGCAGCTACCGAATATAAATAAAAAATATTTCCTATCTGTGTATCTATGTGCAACGAAAACAGTTTTATTAATCTGTCTATTGATTATACCATGATATCCTTATAATATTCCCAAAATGTTTTTATGATATTGTATTTTTATCTTTTACAATTTATAAACTAAATAATAATAATAATAGAATCAAAATAAATATTTTTCAAATTTGAATAACAATAGAAAGAGCGGGACTTTTATAAGAATATTACTATAGGTCAGCTACTACTTGAAGATTATTGGTCTGTTTACAAAGAGCATGCAATCGGATTCGCTATTTTATAGAAAGAATAATTTAAAAGTTTAACTGACATCATACTAGTCTGTCTTTCATATTAGTTTTGAAAGGTTAATAGATGTAAGTACATATTTTGTCCAAAAATTTACCATGTATATAGAAAAACATTTTTCAACTAAATTGTTTAAGAAAGAATATGAGCAACCAAAATGAACGATTTTAATCTGGTAAGTTTGATAAAAAAAATTTATAACTAACATTTGTTTATCTTCAAAATTTTGCATTTCTGAAATTAATATACATATAATATATTATATCTTCGAAATTTCATTATGTTATATTATTATGTTATATTTATAATAACGTTATATTTATAAAAAATAATTTAAAATATATCATCGTATAAAATATATTATATAATAAAAATTATTTTGCCAAAAATATATTACTCTGCTTTAATAAGGTTAATAAAAGAATAAAAAAAAGTGGAATTGACGACAATCACAGATTTTCGGCGGTGGCGCTTTAGTTGTCATTTCCATCTCCGGCGCCACCGCTACTTCAAGTACTATCTCTGTCACCGGTAATTCCATCCCCTTCTCCATTTCGCGGGTAGCGACGCCTCCGCACGGCGCCGATCAATAACGTTGTTCTCGGCGACGCCGGCGTCGGGAGCGTCGCTGTGTGAAGGCATCCGCAAGCAATCGACGTGTCGCCACGAAACTTGTACACGGGTGCAAAAGAAGCGTCGCGTGAAAAAAAACATTTGGGAATGCAACCACCGTATCTATTACCGTTTTGCAGAACGAAACTTATGATAATCAATTGCAACAACGATTCCTGGGTCCGGAACCAGCGATTTTTGGATTCGAGCAATCTTTAGGACCCACCCACGATACGATGGCTAAGGTGAGTTCTGTCAAAATAATAAATTAGTGATTTATCGTATTACTGAAATATATTGTTTTTCTTCTTCTTTTGTTTTTTTGTTTTTTTGTTTTTTTATTTTTTTTACAATATGTATATATGTTTTAATTGATTTTAATGAATTTATACTTAACATTTTATCGGAAGAACGTGTTATTCCTACTCTGTCAACAACTGTTGCTGATTCTTAGAAAATATCGTTTTCTGTGGATAATCAATTCAATTTTGTGCTTTTAATTATAAGCAAATGATTTTATTATAATTAATTTCTAAATTAATAAATTATCGATATGATTTTGTGATATATTGACTACGTGTACAGTAGTCACGGTCTATCTCGGCAGAAAAAGTAGTTTGGCGCCGTCATGATCAGCCGGACTGCAGCACATAGTCGACATTGCTAATTGAATATAAGAAAAGAACTAATTGCTATAATAATAATAATAATGAAAAATATATATATTTTTTTACATAATATTGATAACGATATATCTTTTACTATTAATCTTTTTTTTTTATTGAAATCTTTTATGTATATATGAATATTATTTGAAATACTAAATCTAAATTTATAAATAAAGTACTAAAGCACGTGGAATTAATGGTTTCTAATTTTATTTAATTAACAGTATCTAGATATCTGATTTATCAATAGATTCATAGATATTCATATATATATATTTTGTGTACAAATGAAATATAGAAAATGTATCAATTAGAAAAAAATTGAATAGATTAAGTATTAGAAATAATACACTTGATTAATTCACAATTATATGGTAATATAATGATTTGATATAAAAATATATATTGCAATTAACAAATTTCTTTAATAATAATCCATTTATAAATAAAATAATAGCATTATTTTGTTTTGGTAATTTCAAAATTATGTGGATATTATTTTGTTTTCTTTTTTTTTATTGGATGCTATCAATTCTAATAATTTGAAATATTTATTTATGTATTATATTTATGCAGTTCACAGAAATTCACATATAAGTTGTATCATAAATTCTTATGATCGATTGATAATGCATATATGTATGTCTCATATGATCTGCATCGAGATCATATTCATTGAAATATTCGTATTCATTTAAAATATTAAAAAAAATTATATATATGAAAAAGAAAGTAATACGTTTAAGTAAATACTTTGAGAATATTTTATAAATTTATTATATAACTTTATAATATTTTATTTTACGATAATTTCTGGTATTCAATATATATGTATACATATTTTGATAATTATTTACAAGATATTATCGATTTTAATAACCTTGAAATATATTCTCAGGGACAACGTTCTGAACAACTTTCCTCTTTATTGTAACCGTCATTCGGCCTTAATTTTCAAGATATTCAAAAAAAACTTAGTTAAACTTAGGTTAAGATCACATTATACTTTAGCATATGCGGTCATTTGATAATGAAGATATACGAGGAAGTTATTTGTAAACATACGTGTAAAATGATTAAGAGATACATGTTCCTAGTGTTTATAGTACAGAAGTTGTTTGACATTAATAATGTAAATACGTAATGAAAATATATTTAAAGCTTTAGAAATTTCTATTTTTATTTATTCTAGTTCTTAGAGTAAAATTTCAAAATGCAAATCAAAATCACAAAATATATAGTAATTAATAATTAATATAATATATATAATAAAAATTCTTAGATAAGATATATTTTAAAAACATTAATGAGCATTCATGTAGGGAAAAGTTATTCAGATTTTATCTTTGAATATATTTAATGATCATTGAAATTGGTGTAGACAGTCGCTTTATAAATAATTATCTTTATTTTCAATCGAACCAATTCTGATTTAAAAGATAATACCATAATATTCATTCACATTGATCGTTAAACGTCATATAATTATTATCGAACACATCAGATAGATAGAAAAGAAAAGACATGCGAACTGGTTGTAAAAGCGGTGTGTTTACTGACTGACCCATTATGCGACCAGATGCTTTCTTCGTAAAATTTTCACCGTGTTTAACGGTCCTTTGGAGACGTGCTCGTTTATACAAACCGGTACATGTGCAAATAGACTTTTTCTATCGTGCATCGACTGCAAATTAGGCGATTGTATTGGAGATGTATTCGAACAAATTCGAAAAAATCACATGAATCGAATCTCATGATTCTGGTGTATATCACATATATCCACAAATTTTTGAAACAACTATATCCAACATATATACGTGGATATATATATATATATGTATGTATGTATATAATAGTTGGCACGAAAATGCGGTAAATTGCGGTCAACTGTATTATATTTCTGTCTAGAAGAGTGAATGCTTGTAGATTAGATCAGGGTAGCTGAACCGATATGATCGTCAAATGTCCTTTTATTTTTGTTCCAACTGTTTTATCGATATTCATTTTCTACGCGTAAGGCAACAACGTTTTAAAATTCACAATATAAATTATTCTTTTATGTATGAATTGAAAATTATTATAAAAATGATCATCATTCATTAGATATTTTAAATTATTACGATATCCTTTATGATATAATTCGAAATAAGATATAATTTTATTAAAAAAAAAGAAAAAAAAAGGATTAAATTTTTTGCATATATACGACATTGCATGAAAATGTACCGACTTGTCCAGTCGGCATGTCGAGGCTAGGGAGAGGCCTTTCAAGGTCCTCGGGGATTTTTATATGGCGGGAAGTAAGAACGGATATATAAAGGTCGACGAGGACCGGTCGTATAGCTATAGAACGAATTCGATCCTAAAATCGATAAACATGTCAGACACAAAGGGATCGTTCGTCGGCATGTAAAACATTTGTATCGTAGAGCATCGTGAAATTTCAGGCTTGCGAAACGCGTCGTGTCCGAATTAATTCCGGACAATCGAAGGTTGATTTTCGTGCGTAGAAATATAACACACTATCGTGTGTATATATATTATGTAATGTATTTCCGTAAAATAAGCGTTACTCGTTATACTGCTACTGTATTGGTGGTTTTCAATTACAATGCTTCTTTATAACCTATGATTACGAGCATAACACGTGACTACACTTGTTAGTTTTATCAAGTATGGACGATTTGATTTTATCATGTACAGTATAAGATAATCAAGATAGTCACAGATCACAGAAATCATACCTTAAATTGATCATTTTATTCTATCTTTTATTTCTTTAAAATATATAATAATTCTTCTATCTAAAAAAAAAGAAAAAAGAAAAAAAATATATTATACCGATACCGCAATAGAAATAACAATTTTTCATTTCCTATATCTGCATCTTTGAATTATCAGATGGAACGGAATTCAGTTGAATCTCGATAAAATAAATTCTAGGATGTACCGCTAATTACAAATGTACCGATGAAAAAAACCCGTGGAATCAAGCTCGCAACTTAAACGTAGCCTTGTTCTTCGGTTGATGACGTTCACTGTACAGTCCTCGTGTATTCGCCGGTATCGTATGTGCCTCGTATACGGATTCACGGGCCGGTGAATGCAGAAACCGTGTGTTTCT